GCTCCTCACTCTGACACCGTACTCTGTAGGGTTTAGGATTAGGATTAGGTACACTACATAGCAAGTGAGGGCTAATCCTAAAGTTTTACCAAAGGATTTGCTTTATCAGAATCTAGTTTATTATCTTTGAAACTGAAAGTCTGATTCTATTTTTTCAAGATTCAGATTTATTTGCCTTTTGCAGTAAAACCACATTGAAAAACTGTGGCGAGACAACCCCATTGTGCACCAGAGCTCTTGCCCCACTTACTTAATTTAGAAACAGAAGCCACTGAAAAACCCAACTAAATGCGTGAGTTTATTACATTCAAATTATGAGGGTTAATTAACTAGAAAGAGCAAACTATGTAGCACTTCATTAGCTTTAATCAAAACTTCTTTGACATTTGGGTGAAAATTAATAAGGCTCTGTTTTGTGAATAGAATTTGCATTTCCAAAACATGATGGTCATTTCTTCGAGGTGACACCTCTCCCCCGATCATGTGTCATACAAACGGAGTCAATTTGTCCTTTGATTTTTTTTTACACCTTTCATTAAAGCCACACAAATTACCTCTTGTTTGATGGATCATCACAACAGAATTGTTCTAGAACAATTCCATCAACTTCAACCAGTCACTGCTGCATTTAAACAGAGCCTCTCCAGATTAGTGCACAACCTGCCGCCCTCCCCATCACTGCCACACCCATTGGAGGAATCAGCACTTGTCCGGCTCACCTCAACTATGATCAAGAGGGACTCAAGCACCACCGGGGTCCTAGAACCAGGGGTAAAACCATCAGCACCGGGTCTAGACCGTCCAGGGTTATCCTCCAGAGGGGGGGATCAGTTTCCACTACATGGCACTGTGGAAGCTGTGATTGGAGGTCTCCATGCCTCCGCTCTGTATAAATACAATTGGCATTCTGTGTATCTGTTGTTCGTGCTGTCTCTACATCGACAATAAAACATTCCTTCTGTCTGAATTTATGACACGATCCTCTGCTATGTCATCTTCTTCAATAGTAAAAAAAATTACTAACAAACACAAATCAGAAACTTCCGTATAGGAAAAAATGTGTTTATTTCTTTATTCTGAATCGAGTCCTCCTCAGATGAATAGAGCTTCTCTTTTTTTTTGGGGCGGTCTTGCAGATTTATTTGTTAGCATGATGGTCACTGGATATGATCTTGCAATGTCATGCCTGATTGGCTAAGGAAGATCCACGTATTGTGTTCTGCTCGTCCTGATTGGCTAAGGGTTAATCTCGGTGCCGTGTTTTTCCTGTATCACAAACATTCAGATTGACAAAATGTAAATCCCATGTATGAGAGCAGCAGAGTGACTGTAAGCTAATTTTCTCACTAAACCCACAACTTGGTTAGTGCAAAAAGAACTTCTGGACATGTTGCTTTGCAATCGATGACAGCAAAGAGAGCATCGGGTGCGGGACCCAGGCCTTGAAGCGAGGATTTTCAGCAGCACTAAGGACCATTTTACTTTCAAAAAATTTTGAACAATTTTGATTTCAAGATTCAAAAGCTATAACGTTAAAGTAGTTTGAGATGAAGGCATATTGTAAATGAGAACTATCTTCAGTATGAACCAAACTTTGGGATAGATGTTGATGATTTGGGTCATCTAATTTGCATAATTGTGAGGTCATCAAGGTGGGGGCCATTTTTGGAAAATGTGAATTATGTATAATGTTTTAAAAAGCTGTAGTTTGAGAGTGTATTTTTGAGATCGGAATACTGTCAACAGTCCCTCGTGAAATACCTTTAGTATAAAACAGCATTGCGGGATATAGAAATTAAATCATCACTGATCCAATTTATATACAATATTTTAGCACTGGTCAGCAGCCATATGAAATTGTAATTATGTATTAGACCTTCAATGATCTAGATGCTTTTGGTATCAATAAAACTCTTTGCAAAAGAAAAGGTTTGAAAGATTCCACTGAGACAGAAACAGTTTTCTCTGTGGAAATGAGGCTCCAGAATTCATCGTTTAGAAAACAGAGCGATTAAAATGAAATGGGCTCAGAACTTGTCAGATTGTCTCAACAATAAAACAACAAGGCTCTTCAACACTTCTGAATCCTATTTTATGGATTTTCTTCCTCTCTGCCTCATCATCATCATTGCCCGTCCGTAAAGGAAGATTAGGCGTGTGTTTTTCGTCGGCCGCTTCTGCCACGTCTCCCGGATCCCCGCTGCATTCACGCCACAAGCCCGGTGTTATGACCCCCCTGTCCCCTTCACCATGTCCCCTGCCCCCCCTGGCGTTCGCAGAATGTTTCCACGTGGCCACACACCGCTGTAAAGAGCCCGTTTCGGTGTCAAGCGTGAAAGAGGTCCGCACATTTAAAAGTGGGAAGCCGCTTTAATGTAAAATGTGGCATTGTGGCGGCTCATCCTCCCCGCGCTTCTCTTTCCAAAGTTACTGCAATAACCGCATAAAGCGGCTATCTGCTTTTAATGTGCGACGCAGTAACGTGACTCCAAAAGCCGGGCAGCTTTACACGGGGCCACCACGGAGGCGTAAACTGTGGCTGTCTGTGGATATTGAAGATGAGACATGTCTGGGATCGCGTCTTGAATTCAGACAGAAGACATGTTTTATTGTCAATGGTAGAGACAGCACTAACAAAGCACACGAACACATGATACAAGAGAATGCAAGTGTATTTATACAGAGCGAGGCATGGAGACATCCAATCCACTTCCACGGTGTGCTTGTAGCTTGGCCTTCCGATAGACAAAACAAAGTAAAGTACTGCACATGGATAAATGATGAGTTTTAACTTAACAAAAGTTTGCCTTAAAAGTGTTATGAAATCTCACATTCCCCCCTCTGTCCCACATTCACGTGTGACCCATCAGGATGCGATAAACACAACATTAATCATAACTCAATACTTCAAAAACTCATAAACCGGTAGTTGTGTGCTTCTAACAAACTCAGAACTCGGAATACTTTTACAATAAAACTCAGAAAACTCATAAAACATGTTCAGATCTTTCATTAAAACTGTCAACAATCTTCAGTAAAATATCCCAAACTTCATCATTTCGATGGTGGTTCCAGATATTGCTTTGAAAACATCTCTCCCACTTCTGTTGGTTTCTTCAGGCTGCATTGTGTCGTGCCATGAATTCTGCTGTGACGTGTCTTTCAATCACACGTTTCAGCTTTAGTGTCCAATTCAGAATCCAGTCATCCAATGATGTCCAGAATTCAGAAGCCAGATTGTTCCAAATGATGTCCATCAAATGAGGTCGCTGGTGTTGTTCCATTCCTCAGCAGCTCACAGCCTGAGTGGAATCAGGGGCTTGTGAGATGCCTTGTGTGCTGGGTGCCAGATGCATTCTTCTGAGTTTCTCTGTTTTGCTTGATAAAAAAAACACATTTGTGTGTTAAAAAAAAGTATCTTCTGTTTCTGTAGAGGTGACAGACCATGGCCCGCATCCTTCCACCACCTGAAGAAAGTGACAGTGTCTGGATCGCGTCTTTAATTCAGACAAGAAGACAGTTTTAATTGTCGAGTAGAGACAGCACGAACAAAGCACAACGAACACAGAAACAAGGAGAATGCAAGTGTATTATACAGACGGAGCAGGAGACCTCCAATCAGCAGCCTTCCACGGTGTGCGTGTACTTGGCCTTCAGATAGACACAACAAGGAAAAGTACAGGCTTCTGCACATTGATATATGTGAGTTTAACTTTAAAAAATAACAAAGTTGCTTAAAAGTGTTTTATGAATCTCACACTATTATGCGCGGACTTCCTGTCACTAATAATGTCTGTGTCTACTTTCTCTGGACACACTGAGTGTTTTTCCTCCCTGAATCTGAGTGGAGCCAGTACCAATTACTTCTCTGATCTCAGAGGGGGACCTCTGGTTCAGCTCTGGCTCCGCTCTGAAACTACGGCTTCCCTGTTTTCGTGTCGCTGACCGCAGGTGTTTTAACAAACGATTTTACTTCCTAATACTTTGAAATAACCATTCCCCACAAGCCGCTCCATCTCTATAAGGCACCCATGTCCACTAACTCCTCGTGAAAAAATATTAACTAAATTACAGCAATAAATTTTTTTTCTCAAATGCATGGTTAAAGCATTGGTTTCATGCATTGTCCTGCATTTTGATCAGAAAAAATAACTAAACAATAGAGACAAAAGACCCACCCCTCCCCCCCACCTGCTGCACTTGTGACCAGGGAACACAGCCCAGGACTGAGCTGGACTTCCTGGATGACCTTGATGTATCCAGACTTCCTTCCGGTCCTCTCTGTGATGCTGCTGATCCAGCAGACCACACCGTACAAGATGCTGATGCCAACCACAGAGACGATAGAGGGTCTACCAATAGTCTCAATGATCCACCCAGAAGTAGAAAATCCTCCTATATACCTTTAAGTCTAGAAACCACATGTGCAGAAAGTTTACATTATATAAGTACAATCCCACATAAAAAAAGACAGATACAACAAATCAAGGTTCCAACTGCTCAGAACTTTTATTTGGAGGGCAATGAAAGTTAAAATTAAATTAAAATATAAAATTTAGATACACAGGGCTGTTTTAAAGAGGAGGGCATAGAAAACACTCCCGGAAAAAAATAAGGGATAAATGGAACTACATGGATTTGTATATAAAAAAAGACAGTTGTTTTTAGAGCCCACCCCCATCAGACGTGTCCTCATACGCAGTGCTCCCCCTTTTCCCTCATGGACCCCTGGGTCAGTTACTTTCACACCGTTCTGTCCTAGTGTAACAATCTTTCCTGCAGTTTTTGAAAAAAGTTAACAAAAAGTCCTTCAAAAATAAAATGTCGCAACCACATTTAATATTCTACTATTACATATACAGTATATATATATAAATACATAAATATCTTACATGTACAACCAATTTCAGAAAAAAGGGGTAAAATGAGAACCCAAAGACTGATGAGGACTGGGGGTGGGTGTATGTATGTGTGTGTGTGTGTGGCGGGGGCTGCTGGTCTCAGTTGGTCCAGTAGGGGGAGTTTCCGTAGCTGGACTTGCTGCCTTGGGACTTCTGTTGCATGGTGCCGGCCTGGCCGCGCTGAGGACCGCCCTAAACAGACATGGGAAGGAGGTTACCACATCAGCTCTGCTCGCTTCTTCTGTTTTTAACCTGACAGTTTTTTTTTTGCTGCATATACACAACTGAGGGATTTTATCTAGACCCTATTTAATGCACTGATTATTTCTGATTTGAATGCCTTGTGTGACTGTCTTGTTCAGCACTTTGACTTGACTATTGTATGAATTGTGCTTAAATATAATTGCCTTGCCAATGCCTGGGAACCAAGCGTGTGTCACAATCAACGGGACCAGTACCATTTATTTTGGCAAAATATCTACTAATAATTGTGTGTGAACTCAGTCATACAGGTATTATTCAAAACAAAGGAATGCAAAACAGTGAAAGCTCAGCCACGAGTTGGAGAGTTAAAGAAACCTCAGAAAATCTAACTTTTTTTTATCTAATAGAGATATTTATGACGATGGTTACACCATTTCTCAATATACTGATTGTTTAAACAGTCTTAGAGGCAATGAAGGATGGGTCAGATGCAGAGGACAAATATCCATACAGGGACAATAAAGTATAATTAACAAACTTGTTTCTTCAGAAAGTAAAACCATAAGTCTGAAGCAATGTAATTCAGATGCAATGCCCACATATTTCAGAAAAGATGAGTTCTAAGCTTAGACTTTGACAATACTATTTTACTAGACTGAGGATTACAGTATGGAAAAGTCAACCATTTTACAATTAAGAACTATACTGTAAGTTTCATATTAACACCAACACCATTATCAGTTTAGCCTTTGAAATATGAGCAGCAAAAAACCTTTTAGGAGGTTGAAAAACAAAGATTAATTTACTACTGTGTATTTTCTTTAGTATAAACTATTATATAGTGGGAGACTTTAAGGATCCAATGCATCCTCCAGGTTTAAATGTGCAAATTGACCTCATCTGTGATTTACTTTTAGGGCTGCATCAGATTAATATTAGTAATGTAAAGGTATTTGAGCGGCTCACCTGTCCGTCCTGGGCCATGTGGTGGTGCAGCAGCTGGGAGTGAGGTTGTTGATGTGGGGGCAGAATGTGGAGGAACGGAGCTGGAGCGTAACCAGGAGCCCCTCCAGGGTTCAGGGGGCCAGTTCCCCCCAGGGCAGAGGGCAGGCTGAAGGGAGGAGGTGTGCCCGTGTGGAAGCCCTGTTTGTCAAAAGACTGCACAAAAGAGGGACGCGGAATTAGAAACATTAATTCAGGTAATCACAGCTGAGATGAGTCATTTGAATCTTATTGTATTGTGTTCATCTAAGACCTCAACCATTCATTCATCGCTCACAGAAGTGCTCAGGCCTAAAAAGGGAAGCCCAGACTCTGACAGTGTTTTGGCCGGGGTTGGGACTTCACCTTGGGTAGAGGCATATTCCATTTGTGTGCGTGCAATGCAGCGCACTACTTTCTGGGTCTCATAGCAGCGCTAACCCGGTCTTGAAGGACGTGCTGCAGAACCAGTACATGATTGCACCTGTTATGCATGTGTGCAACTACACTTGGGCTCCCATCACAAAGCAGATCAAACCCAGCCATGGCACCGGTGGCTGCAGCAAAACAATGACAGCAGAACTTGCATCTTTCCATCAGCTTTTACCTCAGACGAGTTACTTTTAAACATGACACCATCAGCCTTCAACTTAAACATAAAATGTGTTTTCATGGATGTGATCACTTCAAAATCCTTGCACCAACAAATTAAGAGGTTAAGGGATTTCATCCTGGTCAAGCCTTGCACAGTAAAGTGGACCATGCCAGAAAAATCTGAAATATGGATGAAACTTACGGAAATAATAAAAAAGATCAATTCAGCCGTCATTCCTATGAAAACTAAGCCCTCTTTGTTCATCCTTGATCCTAGTTAAAGCTGCACTAACTGACTGTGATTTTGAAGCCGCGGACTCGCTGGCCTCTCTCTTTCTGCTCCCCTCCCCGCACCCATGAAGCTATCGCCCCCCACACACGCTCACTGTTGTTGACGGAGCTAGCGTCTCCCAATATGAATAATACATGGATATGGATTTTCATGTGAATGGCGTGACCATAGAACGATAGAACCGGGAAGCGGAGGAACGAGACTTTCTTTTGGATGGCTGTTTCGCTAAGTAAGCAGTAACCGGTGATGAAGACACGAAGCTTCAGGTTAGCTCCTTGGCTTGTTGTGCTAACTCAGCCGTCTATGCTAACGGACCTGTAGATTTCTCACGAAAGTGGGGGCTAGTGTTCCGCTGTGATTGGTCACAATCTGAGACCCGAAACACATTCTCTTCCTTGTTTCCCTCAAAACTTGATCTAAAATATAATGTCACGCCAGCACAAATCTGCGCTACTTTTTCTTCAAAATGACGTATATCCCAATGCACTACATGGACATGGATAGCATTTTCATAATGAATACGAAAATAAAGTCAGTTAGTGCAGCTTTAACATCCAATGCTCAAAAGGTCTAAATTAGTCACAGCGGTCTGTTTTGGTTTTACGATCACCGTGAACCTTGTATACCGTGCCTACATGTGCAAAATATGTAAACATAGAACGTTCAACAAGTCTAAAGTAGAAGAAACTTACCTGTGTTTTGCTGTAAATGGATCCTCCCATGTCGGGGACTCCTCCACTGGACCCTGAGGCAGACAGGCCTGGAGCTGCTCAGGAGGAGAGTAGAGGAGAACATGCATTTAGTGGGATCGTTCAACCTAGAACTAATCTTACTCCTTACAGATCACACACTTTTAAAAGAAACTGCAAAGAAAACAGTGAACAAGTGTTTCTCACAAAGTACCACCTACAGAAATAGGTGAAGTTCAGAGTACCTGCAGCTTGGCACAAAAGTAAAGTAAGGACTGTGTAATATCATGACAAAATGTCATACGTGGCCATGAGTTTCCTTAGAGATCAGAATATTGATAACCTAAGCTCCTAAACAGTTACATTGGAAAACTACAGTCATACTACAAAATTGAGTAGTATGACTTAAAACGGTTTTAAGATATTAAGATTGGGATGAAAGAGGAGTACATGTGTGCCTGAAAAGCTATGTGTTTAAAAGTTGCCTCATCCTTGAGACGGAAGCACTGTACTAATGCTTATATGCAGTTAGTAGAAATGCAGCCATTAGAAAAGCACCGAGCTCCGTCCCACACACATGCAGAAAACACCAGACTGACCCGAGCAGTGACCCTGACAATGAAGCATGTGGACTATAGATCCCACTAACGCAGTCATTTTAAGCTCAAATACAAACTTTTGAGCTATAGCTGCAAATTAGTCTGACAATTCTAGGTTTCAACTGATTGCAGTCGAAGGGTAACTTTAGTCCATTTTTATTCCAATTTTGGAATTGGTTCATTATGTGATTGTGTCCCATGACTGACACCCATAACTTTCTGCGTACAATTTGGTTTACTTAGGACTTGCTTATGTTGGTGATGGATTTCCTGCATATGGAGCACTAAACTGCCATCAGTGACATTCCAGTGGGAGGTTAGGAGTCCTCATGGCCTTAGTACCAACAGTTTGTAGGGAAGATGACTCAAGGACATGGTCCGTATACACTTTATGAATAAACATTGAATGGTTTGACAAATGCCATAAAACTGGACAATCTCTGGAAACAAGCTACAGACTGATACAGTGGCAGTTTAAACTTGGGTCGTTGGAAACCTGTGGTTTTGAATACTAACAAAAGTGCTCACGACAGTGTTCCAACGGAACATTGAGATAGCTAATCAAGTTGAAATATCATTAATGAATTTATAGAACAGACTTCAGTGTATCTGGAACATCAGTGTTTGCATGTTTTCTTTATGCTCCATGTAAAAAGAATATTCATTTCATTTGATAACATTCTATATGACAAAATGAGTTAACTAGAACACTTTAAGAATAGAGTAAATATTTTATGCCAGACTGAAACAATCCTGACAAACCAACGTCATCTTTGAGACATCACCTGTGCATTTTAATCCACTGAAATGTATTGGAATGTGCTGGAGATGAGTGCAAATACCTTTTCCTGGGGCGCTGCCCGCTGCCTTGGCCTGAGTCTGGGCAGAGCTTCCGTACCCTCCCTTACTGTAGTCCCCAGCGTGGGCTTGGGACAGGTCATCAAATGCTGAAGTGGTGCGGAGCGGACAGATAAGAGGGAAAGGGAGGGGTGGAGGTGTGAGAGGAGAGGCGTAAGGTTACCTGACTAACGTGGTGGTGGTGGACGGATGGACACGGCGCAGCGAGGGACCAGAGCCTGAGAAGCCACGCAAGCCCAGAACACACATGCCCCACTCCACATGCAACTCGTGTGCAAGCGTCCCAACCACACAACAGTTCAGACAGCGCTGTAGCCAAAATCACCCTACACAACAATATCAGGCTTTATTTGTATTAATTTTGGTCTATGACCTTACTCAACCTTGATGTTGGAATTTCATGTTTTAACATTTGAATAGTGTTTGTTGGAGGGTGGTCAGGTTGAATACAGCAAGAGGCAAAAAGAAGCACCCCAGTCTAGTGGGAATTACAGCCCCCAATGAAAGCCACTTTACACGTGAAAAAGCAGGTGCACATTAATTAAGGCAATTTGAAATGGTCAGAGCTGATTTGGAGACAAGACCTCTGTAGCTTTGTGTAACGGAGGAAGATTGATGAAAATTCTTTATATTAATTTGGATGAAGGCTAAAGATTCCAAATCAGGTTTTGATTAAAAAACCTCACAAAAAGTTGAACTGGTGTAATGTGTGCATTTAAAAGCAGTCGGGAGAGCATTGTCACCATCCAGACTGACACGCAAAATGATCAGGACATCCCAAAGGACGGATGCCGCAAGTTAAAGATTAACTAATGATTTAAAAAGGCTCTAATTGAGACCTTATAGCAACATGAACTCAAAAGCAGATTGGACATTTGACAGATTACATGTTTGTAATGATTAAAAGACACCACTTTTTTTGTTTGGAAAAGAATGTTCAACTGTTCCAATAGAGTCAAAACATATAGAAGGTACACCTGTGTACTTAAGTTTGACCCAATTTTTTTTGCTGAAATAAGAAACACTGAGTATTTGGAATAAAATGTCTGAATGCTTTTGATGCAAAATGCAAAATACTACTCATTTTAGCATTTAAAGGGAAGTAGAGAAGTTAGCTGAAATAATCAGCAAAATAATAAGCTGAAGTGAACTCAAACTCTAAATGAATTACACATTTTAAGAACTGTATTAAATTTCTATCTGGCTTTAAATGTTGATATAAAATAAGTAATTTTATTATTCTAATATTACAGGTAAATCCTGCCTTCCCTTCTCTTAGCTACAGCTCAGAATCCACGATGCCGTCCACGTTAACCAATCAAGTGATGCCAAGGGCTGTCAATCATCGCGCTGATGCTCGTAGCTGCGCACATGCTCAGTTTGTTTTCGCGGAGCCTCCAAATCAAGCCTCTATGGCTCTGAAACTAGCCTGGTCGTACCACACCATAGTACAAATTACATTTCGTACTAAGGTCTGGAGGCGCTCCATTGAGCTCCGTTTACAGGTGGGAGGGGTTAACTCCTTTTGAAGATTGAAACGATTGGATCCGAGTTTACCGTGATGTATGTAATGCGCCCGAGTCTGTTGTTAGCATTTAGCCTAGCCATCTCCTTTGACGCTAACAGAGCCCGTGGGGAGTAGCACCACAATTTTTTCCAGCAATTACATTAGCTAAACATTACCCTTGCTCCGGCTTCAATTTCTTGATAGAACCAGACCGGATTACTTTACTATCGCATTTTTCGCCATTACCAAACTACAACCTGCCTGTTCGACGCAAACTCTTGACATCACCCACAACGAACTACAACCCCCACCTCCCGCGCTCGCTGATTTGTCGGTCAAAATTCAACCGATTGTAATCGCTAACAAGGGAACCAGACCCAGACGTTACATGCAGAGAAATGATGATTGAGCGGAGTGTACGGATGGCTAAGGCCAGGCTACTCTGAAACAACATGAAAACTGAACAAAGAATTCTGAACATCCGTGCTGAGTTACCCATTTATATACTGAGCCTATCCATAATCAGATCCTCTGCAGATGTGTCCTATAATGTACAATTCATGATAATAGCTACTTCCGGGTTTGCGCTTTTTTGTGCATTAAAACATTTTTGTCATGAAAACGTTAAATAATTCTGAAAACCTCCGTGCACGTGTATTAATAATGTATATGTATAATGTATTTTCCGATTAACATTTAAATGTGTTACGGAAACGTAGGCGTAGACCAATCAGAAAGGAAGGGGGAGAGAGCTTGCGTAGTTTTTTTCCCCCAAATCAAGTACCTCTCCCTCTTTTTTTCTGACAAACTCCAGACAATCACTTTAAGACCCTGCAAACAGTAAACTAACCCAACAGAAAATTGTGGCACATTGGACAGGAGCCAAAATGGTTTGTGCAGGACCAGGAGAGACCTAATGACATTTTTATCTCAAATTGTCTCATTCAACAACTACATTTTTGAATGATTTCAGACAAAATCCATGTCATGAATTCCAGATCAGATAAACTTACCGGCTCCGTAGGCGTGCTGGCCGTAGCCTCCCTGGTGCTGCTGGTGGTACTGGCTGGAGGGAGTGGCCAGGCCCAGAGCTGGCTGTTTGGCTGAGGCAGGAGGTACAAACACTGTGGGGCCGTACTGGAAGGCAGAGGGCACCCCCGGCATGCCAGCGTAGTATGGCAGACCTGAGGGAGAAGCAAACATGAAACAATGAACACGGATATTCTATACGTGTTTTGGTCAAAACCATGACTCATGAGATCCAATCCCATGTCGCCGGGAAAAGGGAATCTGAGGCCAAGCCTCAACAGTGCATGGGCCTGAACATGTCCAAACTTTGCATGTAACCTGATGCCTGATGTAAGAGATCAAACATATAAACTCACCGACTCAATGTCGGATCCATCTATTTAACCTCTTAACACCCTGTTAAGGCTTGTGCACAGAAGTTGGGCGTACCCAAATGTCTTTGCTTATTTAAAAACTAGGGCTGTCAAAAGATGCTTAAATGCTTTCTAGTTAATTAGAGCTAAAGAATTAATTGTAATTAATCACATTTCAAACTATCTTCAAAATGCCATATTTTTCTGTAAATGGTTGTTTGAATTTAAAGATACATGCCAACATGGTGTACATATATTGTACTGTATTTGTAGTGACTCAGACCAAAACTATTGTTTGTAACACATGACATGAGGGACAATTTAAAACAGTCTGAAATGCAGAATGTCATTAAATCTGTTTGATTTGGTCACACCATTACTTTTGGGTGCACCCAACATGAACTGGTAGTGGAAGGGAAAATTAGGTACCCCAGCCTTAATTTAGCGAGTGCGCTATGGGAGAATACACGGAGGAGACTGAGGCTCCGTTGTCCAGCTTCTGCTCTGTATTTTTGTGTGCACCGGTAACGCAAAGACACGTACACAACAAGCAGAAAATGGTTCGGTGATCCATTCGCCGTGATCACAGCCACTGGAGGAGGGAACTGCTGCCCAGAGCGCCTGCAGCTCAGCTCGCCGAGTTCATTACGCGATTAATGGAAAAATTTAATTAACGTGCGTTAACGCAATAATTTTGACAGCCCTATTAAAAACATCTTACACTTTACATGCTTGTTTGATGCATTACATTAAAGCTAGGGCCTTCAAGTTTATGTAAATATACACCAAAATAATGTAAGTCATTCCTATTTCACTCTGCATCCTTTGAAGTTTGGGAGAAAGTTTTTAGCCTCGCCTAAAATATTCAATTTCTAAAAGGCTCTAAATAAGGCATACTTCATTGTAAGCGATATGAAAACTATTACAATTTAAGTAATTCATATCGGTCGATAACGATATATAGTGATTGGTTTTTTGTTTGATTTTTTCAACCTAAATAAATACATTTGGTGTCGGCTAACACGTTAGCAGCCTTGTACACAAGGGAATGAGGCTGGAGGCATATGTTCACAAGTCACACTGCTTCTATTGACCGAAGTGAGCGGGAGTGAAGTCTTTGGGTGTGTGTGGACGTAGCGCTCCTCGTATTATTATGCCTCACAATATAGTACCTCTTTTTATCCGCTGAGAAAATCGACATGTTACATTTTGGTGTTACTATACTTTGTAGTGTAACACGTCACGTAACTGTATTTAAATAGGGAACACGTGGAAGAGTTTGGTAGCTTCTAAAGGGGGGCTGATTTGTAACTATACAGAATGTGGAAGAGGCTGCATTTGTGCTCCGTTTGCAAGACAGAGCGCACGGACAAAGACCAGACAAGTACATACCAACTAGTCTAAGGTAAGAACATATGTCAGTATGTAAAAACTGTGGCCTATTCCTTTAAGCGCATTCAGTGCCGACATGTTCGCACGCTGGTGTCGTCTTATGTGAAGTTCAATAAAACACAACATTACAGTGATATGTTTGTCATATTTATGTGAGTGTGTTCACAGTAAAGTGACAATTGAAGTATCTGGACTTTAAAAGGTTATAACTTAAAAACTAAAATTACTTTCATAGATTGGAAAAAAGATTTCAAACACAGACACATTGAAGAGATAGTGTGGAAAAAATCAAAAGGAAAGATTGACATAAAAATGTTTAGCAACATTTTAAACGACCAAATGAGCCTCTGATTGGACCATTCTACTGTGACGCCAGTTACATAGAAAATAAAATGTCCTCAGTCTGAAAAAGCAGAAGATGAAATCCCACAAGATTTACATGGTTACCACAACAGGAGGAAATCACTGGATATAAAAAGGAATCGTAAAAAAATAAAAAATAATTAATTAAATGACCCCTGAAAAATGTATAACGGACGTGATGAGGACGGTCCTCTTTTCTCTAAAAATTAAACTTAAAGGCACACCGCGGACTTTGTGACCTAAAGAGTTGACACATATGAGTTATTTTATATGAATACTTGGGCCAATATACAGCGCTTGACACTTGCAATGCTCCGAGCGGGGCTGCCCTCTTGAAATACCGCCCATGTAAGTTTCGAGCAGACGGACCGTCTGCCACCAGGTCACGTGACTTGGAAGAAAGACTTGCTTTACGGCTACAGGCGCTGATATACTCATGGAGCTAAGGCTTTTGCTACTCATCCAGGATATAGAAGTCCATGTGTGGTAGATTACTAATGCAGCGGTCTGGAGGCTGACCACAGCAGAGTCTCTCAATATCTGTAGGCATGTCTCTACAGTTTGAACACACACACCAGTGCATGCTGTCTGAATACACACTCAAAAGACACCGGCTGACTGTTTGTTGACTTTTGCGACAGTGCTGAGTTGCTTGTGGCCACTAGGGGCGCTAAACGTGAAAGTTGCAGGTCTAGCGCCCCTAGTGGCCAAGAGTTACACGGTGTGCCTTTAAGGAAAAAAAATCTGGTCTGTTTTCACATTTAATTGCTTGACAATATGAAAAAATATGTGTAAAAAAGTAGAATCTCTGAATCAAATGTGGACATCTGAAAATACCTATCAAACTTGCACAAAGCTCATTCCGTCAAATCATCACGTCCGTTAGATAAAATAAACAGGGCCTCTATAGGAAACTTGTCTATTGTATAAAACAGTTATGTTCTAGCAACTTCTAATGGACAGAGGAGGTGCTTGGAAACATGAAAAACATAAAATATCTTCTGATTATTAAAATCTAATTTTTGGCCTTTTGTCACACTTTTGTGCCCTTTAGTGTGAACAAGCCCATGTATGTATTTATTCATTTCATTTTTTATGGTAATTTAGCCTACTTTTTAATTAAATGTGCCAACGCTTTACAAAATACATTGGAAATTGTGCAGGAAATGGGCTACAGAAACCGCAACCAGAAAGAGCCTACAGAGAAGCAGCACTGGACTGTTGCTCAATGGTCCTAAGTACTTTTTTCGGATGAAATCAAGGTGCCAGAGTGTAGAGGATGACTGGGGAGAAGGAAATGCCAAAATGCCTGAAGTCCAGTGTCAAGTACCCACAGTCAGTGATGGTCTGGGGTGTCATGTCAGCTGCTGGTGGTGTTCCACTGTGTTTTATCAAGGGCAGGGTCAATGCAGTTGGCTATCAGGAGATTTTGGATCACTTCATGCTTCCATCTGCTGAAAAGCTTTATGGAGATGAAGAATTCCTTTTTCAGCACGACCTGGCACCTGCTCACAGTGCCAAAATCACTGGTAAATGGTTTACTGACCGTGGGATTGCTGTGCTCAATTGGTCTGCCAACTCTACTGACCTGAACCCCATAGAGAATCTGTGAGATATTGTGAAGAGGAAGTTGAGTCACCAGACCCTGATTGCCTCCATGCCACGCCGTATTGAAGCATTCATTTCCACAAAAAGGATTCCTGGTCAAGTATTGAGTGCATAACTGAACATTTGAAGGTTGACATTTTTTGTATTAAAAACACTTTTATTGGTCGGATGAAATATGCAATTTTTTTTTTTTTTTTTTTTTTTTTAGATAGAGATTTTTGGTTTTTCTTTACTTTTTTGCCAAAATCATCAATATTAAAACAATAAAAGGCTTGAACTACTTCAGTTGTGTGTAATGAATCTAAAATATATGAAAGTCAATTATTTTCTGTAATGTACTGATAAACAGTAAAGTTTATCTCAATATGCAATTTTTTTTAGAAGGACCTGTATATTCTACGGGTCCGCGCTGGTCCCTCGTGTTCGCGCTGGTCTCTCCAGTCTACGGTCAGTAGTCTAATGGTGCTTTCAGACCGGATCATGTGTTGCGTCGGGTTTCAATGCAAAGTCTATGGTGGCGCGCGTTCGACCGTCACAACGCACGGACCTCTCGGCACGCACAAACGGACTGTTCAATAATGACGCACGGACTTGGCGGGAAAGTGAAAGGGGAGGAGCAGGAGCAAAAAATCGACGCCCACAGGAGATGGATTCTGCTCATCCTTTCCCTGGGACGTTCGGAAGACAACCAATCAGAAAGCAGCAAAGTAGTCACGGGGACATTAGCGGACCAAGCGAGCAGACTGAAAATACTCGTAAACAGCCAAAACAGGACCCACACCAGGCTTCACCAGAACTCAAACCAGGGTTGACGATGGACTCTGTGCTTGTAAAAATATGCGTTGTCATGCTCCCGTGACCTTATGCAAAGGCTTCGAGTGTGTTCGCCGATGCGGAAATTCCGTTTAATATGAAAACACGTATGGCGCACCTCCGTGAACACATACTACTGTTATATAAAGCCCGTGGAATGTTTGTGAGCAAAGACACGCTGCAAAGCTGCATATTGGAGAAGATATGTACACAAGAAGCCGCTAGCATAGCTCTGTTAGCAGTAGAGCCGGCCGGCTACTTCCGGTACTTCCGGCTCGCGTCAGGACGTTCTGGTGTGAAGTCCTCTGCGTCTGAAAACTAGAGAATGCGCGTCTGGTGAGCGGGGCTTCAGCGTTTCAGCATTGGCGGTGTGAAAGCCCCGAAAGGTCTCTCCTCGGGTCTACCATGGACTCAGCGCTGGTTCGCGCTGGATCTCCTTCCAGGGTGAAAAAACATTTTGAGATTAATCTAATAATTTTGCGAGTTAAACTTTATTCTCATAATATTTCGACTTTAATGTCAACATTTTATGACTTTATTCGCAGTCTGGCAAAAGAAAAAGGACTCTTTTGCTCCGTTGTAACTCTTTGCTTTAGGCATGTTGCCGTTTCCTTGTTTCCTTTGGCGTCTGCACACGGCCCTACAGTCCCTTTTATGGGCATTAATGGGCGGTTACCTATGCTAATGAATCACCTGGCACGCGCGCTCAACTTACGAGGAGTTGGCCTTCATCAGCAGAACAGCTGCGAACAATTCAGCGGCTTAAGAGCACGTTGATGAATCCCACGTAGGGTCTTAAAAAATCTACTGAAGAATCTTCCTAAATTCCTTCTCAAGTCGTTCTTAAGATATTGCTGAATGAGGCCCAATGCGTTGTTGGTAACACCCGTTTCTGACTAAGTTTTTATGCAGTTTCTGGGAGGAGATTGATTTATTTATGGAGCACAAGAGCAAAGGTAAAAAGGATTTATTTTGTGCCCATATGTGTTATATCTTTGGGAATGCAAAGTCTGATATACTTTACACTTTTATATAAATAGAGATAAGAAAATAAGCTTTAAAATTACGTACCGCTTGTGGGGTTTGGTGTTCAAAATACATCTGCTACTGCCAGCAGAACATTTTAAGAGTTTAAAAGATGCGCTATGAAGTTACAGGCAAGATTTGGAAATGCTCAATGGGGACGTTAACTTGATTCTATTGATTCTTGATTTTTAGGGCGAAGAGATTTTTTCGAGAAAGGAAATGTATCTTTAAATAGACTTTAAAAGATATGTTGCGCACCATAAACTATAAGCTGACATGTTTGCATAAGTACAACATTAAAACACAGCGTTATCCTTGACTGTAAAGTGTATGGTTGTACCGGTGTATCCGTAGCCTGGTGGCAGAGGGGGGTTGAGGAAGGCCTGGTTCTGGGCCTGTTGGCTCTGTCCTTGTCCCTGGCTCTGGCTTTGGGGCTGGGGCTGCTGCTGCTGGGACTGGATCCCCCCTGATGACAGACTGGTGGGAGGGGCCGGGGAAGACGAGTCGTTTCGCCCAAACTTTGTGGCTTCGCCTACAAAACAGGATTTGACTTTTCAAATCAAATAATGTTAAATTTCTTTATCACACAACACGTTCTGTGAGTGAATTATGATAAGACATACCAGAGTATGGGTTGTTGGCCATTCCGTCTCTGCCAGGCATTGTGGCTGTTGTGCCAGGGAATGTTACACCATAGTAGTCCTGCAAAAAAAGAACAGGGTTCAATATTCAGTATTAAAAGCAAACCATTGGTCCCTTAAACTGAACTTACCATAGGGAGACGAGACTGCAGCATCTGCAGATCCTCATATCCATAGATCTGCTGTTGGAACAAGAAAAACTGGTTACACTAAAACCTGGACTTGGATTATTTGGAGTAAGTCATCAGAGCTCAGGTAATCACCAAAATATTTAGTGTTTGTCAAAATATATTCTAAAACTTCTGCATACAACTGTACAGTGTATCCAAATAGGAATTAAACATTTTGGTTGCACTCTTAACAGAGGTAAATGTTGAAGCCAGATACTCTAAACGCTGCCTCTGCCTCTTGTGCCAGAAGTAGGGATGTAAATCGGCGACCGGTTAACCGGTGGTTGACCGTCACAGCGTTAACCGGTCAAAGCTGTCGGTTAAAAAAGAGAAAAAGGGGAGAGGGGAGGTCTCTTAATAACGCTATTTTAAGCCCTATTTGCACGGTGTGACGAGCGGGTCTGTATCTAGCTGTATGCGCCCATGTATTATAAACTCCGGGACGACTCTCACGCCGCACGAGCCACATATGCACACACACACGCGCGCGCACACACACACACACTTTCCCCCTCTCCATACGTAACATCCACACGCATCATCTCTCCCCTCACCGTCAAAGTTGCACACTGGCGCGGGTCAGAACTACATTGGAGCTTACATTTACACACACACATATACATACACACACACACACATACATACACACACACATACATACACACACACATACATACACATACACATACCGGTCTGTCGCGCTCCTCTGTGTCACGGAGCCCAAAGGATCCGCGCAAATACGCGGCTCCTTTGGGAGTCGCGTATTTCCCCTACATGTTTTGCTGTAGGGGAAACATGTTTGTGTTTAAGGTCCTCGGGATCAGATCCACACACATCACTTGTATTTAAACTTTTGTGAAGACCTGTGAGACGCGGCTCGTCACTCGCTGCTCTGACCATGTGAACGAGCAGTCTTTGCTGCTAGAAAGTTTTGGTATTAACCCGCAGTACAGCAGAATGGGAAGATTAAAAAAGCAGTTCTCTGTGCGCAAAGGTGCCGAAGCTGTTGCGGGTTTGGGCGCCGCTGTCTCAACTCTGATCCAGTAGAACGCAGAGCTGCACTTATGAAAAGTACGCGGCTCGAAATGGCTGTTATTTCAAAGAACGTGGACTATTTTAAACTACGCGGTTAACCGGTTTCAACCGGTTAATGAGGCTCGGTGGTCGGTCATGAAAATTCATAGTTTTTTACATCCCTAGCCAGAAGGCCTCTAAAACACAAGTCCTTGGAGAGAATAGTTACCGGGTAAGCTGGGAGCAAGCCACCAGGGCCCATAATGTACTGGTTTGCCAAAAGAGGAGGAACTCCCTGAGCCAGGTTGGGAGGAGCTTTACCTGAAATGACAAGAGAGTTATTTGCCCATTAAAAGCTGTAGTTTGAGTAACTCGTGCATTTGAGTAATTTCTTAAAAAGGAGCTATACGTGATTTAATTTCTAATGAGTTAATAAAATTGAAACCCATAATTTAATTGAAAAATTGAGCTAATTGATTCAGCTCATCTATGAATTCAGGCCATGTTAAGTGCAGACGCGTGTTCTTCTCCACTTGCAAACAGGCTGCCTCCTCTAGCGTCTGCAGGTAAACAGAACAGCATGGCAGCCGAAAGAGGATCAAAGTAGAAAGTGGCTATACCTCCTCTGGCTGTAAATGCCTACACAGCAAAACAGCCCAAAAAACCAAAAGTGAGGAGGAGAAGAGGGAACTAAAGCAATGATAAAAGAAATCAAGCCCAGGTGAACATGGGTAGCTTACATTGTATCCTCCGCTCTGACTAAATTTTGACGCGAAACTGGCATTAATTTCAGTTATTGTACTGTATATTGTGTTTGCAGCGAGTTGCTTTTGTACCACTTCATCAGTGATTGTTGTACAGCTTACAAGAAGTTGTGCTAATGTTTGCATACCTATCTGATCACTACTTAAACTAGATGGCTCCGTGGCAGGAGAGCGCAGGGGAGAGTAGGAGGGTTTCTCAAAAGGAGAAGCCTGTAAAAGAGTCGGGTATCGATATCGATCTTTCTCCTTAGGAATTGTATGATTTGTCTTTTGTTAATAAACATTTTGTATCATCAAAACACTTTTTATATTTAAAATAATTATAATAAATATAATTCAAATTATTTATTGGACCTCAGGAAGAATAGAGTCAGCTTGACTGCACTGTGAATCAACAACAAACAATAACAGCTGAGGAAAATGTCTGACTTGTGATAAAGCAAAAAGCTTAAGGGAGAATAAATGGAAAATTCCTATTGATATTGTTTTAAATGTTAGGACTATGTGTGTGCATCTGTGTTTGTACCGGAGGAGGAGGTGAGCAGCGGTGCGGCGCGGTTGTTGACTGCAGACAGGGAGGTGTTTGCGTGAACCGCGGAGGGTCCGTTAGGGGCCAGTCCTGGAGCCGCAGACGGGTGCAGACCGTTTGAACTCGTGGACAGGGGAACAGAGGCGCTGCTGGGCACGGCCGTAGCGGAAGACGAAGGGAAGGTGTGGAGGCTGCTACTGCTGTCATCAATGGTCATCTTCAAAAAAGTTGAAGAGTGAAACGAAGTCTTGGAATGTTTTTGTATCGTCAGTCGTAAACGTGTAAATATTCCTCACTTTCTCGCACATAGATAGCATATTAGTTCAGTCTCCAAGTGCTTTTCACAACTTTACCCAATTTTAGATTTTTTCCAACAGTGCTCATAAATGTACCCCTTGTTGCATCTGTTGCAAACGTATCTTTTTAAAAATACCCATAATATTTGGCATCTTTTTCTTTAAAGATAACAGTGAAAGCAAATGTTTGTACTCTAAGAACAAAAACAGAAAATGCTCAATCCATTGGGTTCATAGCCAATCACTTCCTTCTGCAGTGTGAAAATGAAATTATTAAAATAATTATTTCCTGAACGTTATTCTTTAAAATGATTGTCCTTAGCTAGCGGTCCTTGGCACTAGATCCGCTCCACAGCACTTTTATTTAAACATTAGCAGGAAGACTGGCAGACTTGACAGTGATTCTGGACATTGTGGCGGTGTGTACACAGCCACGTGACGCGAGCCTCCGCTGCTGAGGAGAGGCGCACGTCACTCGCTGTACGAGCCGTTACACATTTCCAACCTCAAGAGAACGTACCGTGGCAGAGTTGGTGATCAGCGCAGACCCTGACGAATGAGAGCTGGTCACATGACTGAGAAACAGAGATATAATGGTGTTAGACATCAGTATGTTTTGGATGGATGTAGGTATTGGAAGATTTGGATTCAGTTTGGGTGTGTCCACATATGAAGATTAAGACATGTGCTTGTAAGCATCATCATCGCTCACAGAAGGGCGTCACATTCAGAAGACTGTTACCTGAGGGAGGAGATGGGGGCAGAGTGAGAGGGAGTCACCACGGGGGGAGAGTGATGGGAGGGCCCGCTGTCACTGCTCAGGACCGGAGAGTCTGCTTTGGAAGTCCTCGATGCTGTTGGAACACACAAGAACCAGGATTAAAACAGGCATTACAGATGTAATAGTGCGCATCCCACAATTTGAGAATGACTGGTGTAGGCTAATATCACTTTTAGACTTTCATGGATCTGTCCGAACCCTGATAAATGCTTTGTTTAACAATAGAAATGTTCAATAAATATTTTACTCTCCTTCAAAAAACTGCTGATCAGTTGTGTGCATTATGTTTCCTTGTCAAGGCCTTATCAAACAAGGAAGCAGCTACTGCTTCTCTAATACTAATTGAATTAACTTTACGCACATAATACACTTTTCATAATTGAGGCCCAATTTGTTTGTTGTCGTCCTGAGAATTGTGTATATAATCAACTCACATTATAACACCAGAGCAGCAGATACTTACCATCTGCTGTGCTTTGTGCCTTCATGTTGCTGTATCCATTCTGTAGAAAACACTCAGTGAGAAAACTTTACAGACCAAGATTTGACTTAAATATGACTGGCTGCTGTACCGTCAGCGGTCCAGGACCAGAAGAGGGCAGGTCTTTGCTCTGAGAGAAGCCCAGATGAGGGGGTAGAGTGCGGCTGGCCTCTACACGGCTCACACTGGGACTGGAGGTGGAGGGGGGCTGGGACAGACCGCTGGGCAGAGCCATGGAGGCAGGGGCCGTGGCACTAGGCAAACCCAGAGACGGAGATGGGAAAGCCGACTCGGAGACTGATGAGGGCAGGGAGGGCAAGCCACTCATGTGCTCACTGGACATCGAGACACAAAGAACAATATTCAACATTACTTATTCAGTTTGGAAGATAAACATGATTTGGAATAGTGCCCTGCACGGGCCTATTATATGGCCCCAAGCACGGCCCGACAGGTTTTAAGAATTCTCAGGCCCGAACCCAAATTAAGGGTTTTTAACCTCCCATAACAACGTTTTAGCATAGTATATAGTGCCACGCACTGATATGAACACAGGCCCGGCCAGAGGGGGGAGTTATACATGGTAGTGATGTGTTGCAATGAGTCCTGTGTGTACGGCTAGAGTGAACGGCCGCAGCTGTATGATACACAAATGCCGCAATAAACAACAACACAATTGAAGGTAACGCTATGTGTCGCCAATGACAATACTATATAGAACAACACATACCACATGATGATAGAACACTATATTCAGTGGGTGCGTTCGTAAATTTAACCTATCGCTCTGAAAATGAATAAATAGAAGTGCCCGAGCTCAGCCCGTGTCCGGGGTAATTATACGGGCATCGGCCCGAAGCCCGGTCCGCAGTCTGTCGGGCCTAGGGCTCAAGCGCAGGGCTCTAATGTGGAAGCCTTACATGGCATCTAAAGGTCTAAAGCTTTTTTCAAACAGTTATTCAAGAAAAAAAAAATAATAATAATACAGTATGCTCACTCCCCACGCAATTCAACATTTACAACATGTTTGAACAGGTTACTGTAAGCAGGGAGTATTTTCATAACCACATCTCTACCTAGACCTTGTGCCCTTGGAGATGGGCCAGGGGTTAAAGCAACAAAAAAAAAAAAAGATTTGACTGAAAATTCTCATGGAAATGTATCACATGTTGTAAATCAGAGTTATATGCAGGACCAAGTTACATTTTTAATTACAATATATTATTGTATAATGACTTACAGATCAAATGAATTCTTCAAAGATATATTTAAACTGGTGTATTTTGATTTGAAATTACAACAAGTGGATCAAGCAACTTGTCAACTTTTTGATAGAATATTAGTGAGAGTAGTTGCATCCACAACATTGGCTTGAGGCAAGATTGAGCGTTCACACTTTGGCTCTGTCCTCGTCAAAATATCGCAAAAGGACATTTAAAATTCTGTCCACATGTTTGTGGATCGTCAATGTTTAAAAAAAAAAAAAAAAAAAAACTGTTAACTCGGTGGCTATTGCACAGTGCTCTTTGATCAACCGCAAATGATTTGATTAAATCTACCAGCGGTAGTGATATTCTGAACACTGTTCAGAATATCACACTGGACGTTGTTTTCTGCGAAAAAGCCACAGACTTAGTTTTAGGTCACAGACACGGTCCGCCATAGCAAGCCTAGTCTCAGTTGTCGCTGATGCACCAGGTAAAGATGAAGTGTGGGAAAGTGCACGAACAGCTGCCTTGTGCGCAGTTTCGAGCTGGTGTAATGTAATGTATGGGTGTAATGGTGAGCCCATTACACCCATATAAAAAAAAAATTATGGCAAAGTACGCACAAGCACCGGCCACTTTCATCTTTTTGCACCATGACCGCTACGGAATCCCATCATCTCCCACCTCATCAAGCCATGCACACCTACATTTATTTTTCACTCCGTTATCAATTGCAACTTGTGCTCCTTCCATAAACAACGAATGCATGATTGTGATTGTGTGTAAATGCTAGGCTAGCGTTGATAAATGAATACAAGACGCGCCAACACACTAGACCACACCTTTCTTCAGCGAGTTTCTTCCGTTCGTTCTTGTTGATTGGCTCTTTTAAAATCACGCTGAGATTTGCATGCGGTCGCAACCAAGACATGTTTGTTTTTAATATTTAGTCTATGGTTTGTCCCCATTTCCAGTCCCAGCAAAGTCCATATTGTACAATCCGTTAAATAAAATAGCACTGGGTTTGGTTGACATTAATTATGTCCTACCTTTTGTCTGATAACGCGCCCAGCTTGTACCGCGGGGCTGCTGGCTGTTATTGCTCCGTTCGGGATTCAATTTTCTTTCTCCTCCTTTCAAAAGCTCCGTGCAGTGTCAAGAAACTTCACCTCCGTGTTACCATTGCTAACTTGGCAGTGTCTTCATTTGCGTGAGGTCAGCGTCAAAGTGCCTTGAGTCATTCGCCGAGCGCTAAAGTAGCTATGGCACAATCAAGTCCCACTTAATTGTATTTTTTTTGTATAATATATATATATATATTTATAATTCACGATTTCATTGTGTGTATTATTATTAAAAACAATATTTTTTTTCTGACCAATTTCATTTGACGGAAATCTGTCACCTAGACGGAACTCTTTAAGCCCTGACATAGGCACAAATCAAGCAAAAGCTCAAGGGATGTTTTTGATGAGGGAATAACGTAACATTAATGTTTACTTAATACGGATCCATAGATACCTGACAGCACTGGGCTTGGAGAACAGGCTGCTCTGCTGAGACTGCACTGGGGCGGGGGTGGGCATGGAGGCAGGGGGCTCTCTGCTTCGCTCTGACTGAGACATGTCCACTGTAGCAGCAGCAGAAGAGTCAGAGGCAAAGTCCAGGGCCCCGAATTGAAGATCCAGCCCTGGGATATCTGTGGATCCTGGCATCTCCACAGCAGACGACGGAATCTGGACACAAATGAGCCATGTGTGTTTTTTATTCTTTATTTTTTATTATCCCTTTCTGACTGCACTGAGCCAAAGCAATTTCCAAGTCTGTGACTTCTTGTTACTTACGTGGCAATAAAAATGATTCTGATTCTAAATGCCTTCAACAATCCATTTGAAAGAAAAATGATTAGCAATCTACAGATGAGGACATCTGCAATCTTTAGTGGGCTGGTTCAGACAAGTTGAAAAGGTCCCTGAGTAAATTGTCCTCGTGTTTAGCAGGACTCAATTTGTGGAAAATATTTCATCAATTCCACACCTACTGAGCAGAACCCAGACATGCAGCAGTGGTGCCATACGTTAAAAAAAAAAAAAACATTAAAAAAAAGGATATTTACTTTTGAGGGAGGTGGGACACGGCGCCTCTGAGCCCTGATCTGCCTCTGAGGAGCTTCTGTGACCGGACCGTCTAAACCAGACAACTTCACTCCAGGAGAGGCTCCATCTCGCACAGATGATACCTCGTGACCTGGACATCATTGATTAAACAACATTTGTAGCGCAAAAGTCGCCCGTTTGGAGATGCGTGTTGTGTCATACCTGGGGGGGTGGGGACCTGGGGCGCGTGGGTCTGTGTCAGGCCTATAGGCTCTGAGGTGGTGAGGAGTGAGTGTGGCTGCCTCTGGGCCAGCTGACTGAGCACCGCGGACGGCTCCGGCTGCGCCTTCATCTCCACTGAGGTCAAAATAAAACCTCTTATTATAGCGCCATGGCAATACCATCCTTTTGTATAAGTTAAAGTTTTTCATTTTGCACCATCACATTCAACTCAATTTATTCTTGTATATTCAAGAAAATAATGTTGAATCTTACAGTGATGAATGGGCAGTGGGCCGTTATCCAGCCGTGGTGTTTTGCTCTCTGCTGAGGCCGGGGGCAGCGCGATGGATCCGGGGCCGGACATGTGTCCTGGTCCATTGGCGAGTGCAGGAGGGTGACTGCTCCTCTGACTCTGCCGAGGAGCAGGCAGTGGCTCCGAGGACCTCAGGTCCATGGCCTTCGACGTGTTTAGAGACCCGAAACCGGAGCCCAGCACCGACGACTGTAGCCACAACACAGATCGCAACATGAGCAAAGGCAGGAAACTGAATCATTGTAGTCACCCTCTAAAAGTCAATCCCTCTGTGCTATCGTGCCGTATGTACAGTGCATTCTCTTGTTAACATTAAGGGGTTGCACCAGCCCAATATTACCAGTCAACAAGCATTCTGTGCGTCTGAATTGCTCCAGTGAAAGTTAATTCTTTAATTCTACACAACTTCAATTAGAATGATCTTGTAGGACTGTATAGACACTAGAACTACAAATCAGATTTGGCCAGAACTGAAACCTTTCGGTTCACCAAAAGACCATTTTTAGTCTTTAATGGAAATGCTTAGAATTCTAATGTATTTTTTAAACAGTTACTATGACAGGTTACCAAAGCGGCGTGAGCGTAAGAGGAGCCGGCGGTGGCGGCGTAGGAGGAGTTCCCAGAAGCCGCGTGGGCGTAGCTGTTAGCGGTGGCGTGTGCGTAGCTCTGTGTTGCAGTGCGTCCATTATGGTGAGAGTTGGTGAAAACCAGGCTTTGGCCGAGTTCTTCAGCTGAAGGACAGTCCACGATGGCTCCCAAGTCAGAGTCCACAGCTGAGGCACCAGGCTTCGGCAGCAGCTGAGACAAGTCCACACTGAGCAGACAGAGGTAATTCAAATAAAAAAACGGCTTCCATCATCATTCAGATTCAGATTCATTTATTTGCCATTTGCAGTAAAACCACATTGGAAAAACTGTGCAAGACTACCCCGGTGTGCACCAGACACACACCAGAGCTCTTGCCACGGCGCCATCTTTACGGCGCCATGCTGGTATGCATGTTGGTATTACAAACTTCCACTTTTATTATTTAGTCCATTTGTTTGATTGTCTTCTTTAGTAGTTTTTCAACCGTCATGAACGTATTTGTATAATTTCATACAGCACGTGTGTGGCAAAGTGTAAGTAAGTCATCTTTATTTAAATAGCGCAACCCAACCCAAAGCGCTTAACAATGTTCAGGACAGATATCGTTTCATTCTCTCCACACTGAGAACACACTGGCGAAAAGCCCAACCAACACCATCCATTCACTCACTAATTGCATTCATACCATCCATTCTCATGCTTCAGCTTAGAGTCATTACTAAGGCCATAGCCCCTTGGGCGACTTTTTCAATAGTTCTCAGACTTCCCACAATGCGAGTGTACGGTCCAGCCTAAGAACATAACTGAACTGGAGGAACAGCTATTCTTACTATATGCCTGGTATTACAGACAGAACTGATGAGGCTTAAAGCATGTATGGTCACCATTTCCTAAAAGAAAAATCAATAGTTTTAAGGCACTAATGTACTTACTTTTGGTGGTTCACAGGGGCAGAAGAGGCAGTAAATACTTTGGTCTCAGATAGCTAAAAGAGAAAATAAGTCATATACACATGCAACTCATTATATAAAATTGATCAAGTAAAAAGTCTATATTCTTACATCTTCAGACCAGTCTTCTGAAGCCCAGTCTTCCATATTTCCTCCCCATGGTCCTACATGACAACAACCATGTTTAGATGGAACCAATATCACATAAAAACAAAATCTTGACTGGGAACAGTCCAACCTTCAGCAGGTCCGTTTCCATCTTCCCATGATTCCCCACGACCTCCGGAGTTGGCCGTATAATCAGCAGGATTGAACGTCCTGTTAGAAAGTAAAGGTTTTTACCTTGCCAAAGCAAGCACACAGAAGTCCAGAGGAGTGAGAGGCGTGTCAGTCTTACCGATAGATCTATTATAATATCTGGACAGGGTATTACTAAGCTTTTATCTGAAGGACCCATGTGCTAGAAGGATTCTCGCAATACTGCAGACTAAATTCACGTGGGCTACACAGATATTTTCCCCGTAGAACTCAATGTATGTTAAAACAGCACGACCTCAGCTGACAGAGAACCTACAGCTTTCATAAAGGTCGGATTTTGTGGGAATTTTCTTGTCCCTTGTCATCCTGAACTTTTTCTCTTCTTAAATCCTTCGGTTTTCTATAAATCCACACTTTAGTGCAACAAATTATGCTTGATTATCTCCTGCTCTAACTCCGCTCTGATTGGTCGAAGTGCGGCCGAGCCCCTCTGTGCAAGTGCATGAGAGGCACACGCTCAAATTTGCGCAGAACCGGGAGGACCAGAGAAATTACCAAATATGGTCGAGTTCCGCTAATCTTTCCGTCCCCATGGTGGCAAATTCACCACTGAGCACAAGCCGCTGATTTGAATATGTGAATAGGGCGCCATCTTGGATCGCCGGGGCTTGGTCTTACCCCATTCCCTGGGAGGAAAACCTGCTTCCTGCTACTCCTCTGCCTCGTCCACGACCACCTGCCCCTCCAGCCCCTGCAACAAGAAACAAGGCTCATTTAAGGCCATTTGCTTTTAAAATGGCAAAGGTTATCTGAAAAAATAAAGAAAAAATAATAATCGCAGCTAGACACGTCTTTACTCTTTACTTTTATTGTGCGGCCCAAAACCCGGTGAGAATGAAATATATGCACTACATATATAGCAGCACTTTGATTTTCAGAAATGCATTATAGCCAAGTCACAATTCCAGGTGCCAAAAACATCTGATGAGCCTTACCTCTGCCCCTCCCCCGTCGTCCACGATCTCCACCCCTCTCTCCTGGAGCCACATCAAAGCCATTTTCTTCCACTCGAGCTAGAATGATACAAATCCATTATGATCACAGAAGCATAATGATGCCACTCAGCCGAACAAGACACGGACCTTCCCTTCCCCGGCTCACTCCTCGGCCTCTGCGGTTGGACGCTCCTCGGCCACGACTCTGCTCCCGATCGCCTTTCTTCTCCTTTGTGTCTGTGGCGGCACCATCTTTACCGGGACTTTTCTTCTTCCCCACAGTCTCCCAAGAGTTCTGCTGTAGGAGAAAACATACAAAAGGATACATGAGAAGCTATTATGTAAAGTCTGCATTCTATGAAGCTGATGTGGCAAAAAGGAGTACGGGCTACAGGGACTGGAAGGCCCTCAGCAGAGGGGCTGCTGAGGGCCTTCCAGTCCCTGTAGCGAGTCATCTGTGTTCGCATCACTGCAGTGAGTCAGACCTGTTCTCAGCGCATGTTGGCCTCTGCCAAGACTGCCCTTTGTCCCCGGTTCTGTTCCCTTTTATATCAACAGAATTGCTAGGCACAGCCAGGGTGAGTGCGGTTTGGGAAACACAGTTCATGGTCAACCTTAAAAAAGGTGCCTCTCCAGGATTTCCTTCCTCAAATAGGGGAGTTAAAGGACCCGAGTCTCGTTCACAAGTAAGGTTGCAAAGGGGCTGAAGGTTTCTGGTAAATCTCCAGGGGAAGTTAAGTTGGGGAATCTTGGAAATATTCCATAACAATGTTTTCAACATATTTGTAAGTAGAACAAGTTCCTCATAATATCAGGCTCACATTTGAGCCTGTGGACTAAACACTCAAAAGTGTGGTCGTTATTTAGAAATCTTCTGTAAATGTGATGGAGACCTGCCTAGTACCAGTAGGGGGCGTTGTTTCAGTAGCCAGGCAGTCAGCAGTGTGCTATGTGCATGTGATTGTAGAATGACAGATATTCAATTGTCTTTGAAGGGCATCTGTTGGTTTGAGTCAAGATTATGCCAAAATATTCTCAACTGTATATAAGGTGCCATATCCTCTTCATGTTTCAGTCCATCCTGATCATGTGTTTTAATAATTTCAGTGATAAACAAGGTTTTGAGGGCTGTATTGTGTATCTCCAAAGCAAACTCTTCAGCTTCGTCCGTCATAGTCATTTCAGACCTAAGAATAAGGCCCTGTCCAAATGTAGAGTGCCCTCCCATAGGGGAGTGCAGTCGCAGGATATTCTCCATAAGAAATGGGACACCCATGGATCTAGGGGACAAAATGCAAATGTTCCACGTCACACACAACCGTGATGTGTCTGATTCCACCACAATTAGGGGTGGGCGATATGGCCTAAAATTCATATCGCGGTATAATTTGGGTCATAGACGGTAGACGGTATATATCGCGGTATAATTTGGTGTGTGAATTTCAATATAGGTCTAGCAGGTTCTTGCATAAAATAGTCAAGATTGTTAATTATTTATATATTAGAATCTAATATATATTTTTTGAGTTAGAAAATCAGTTGTGAGACGAATAAAGAGACAAATAACATACATTATTTATGTATGTTACAGTAAATACCATTCACTGTAAAAGCAATTTTCAAAAAGAAAAACATATGCATTCATTTAAAATATAAAAAACTCACAAATGATGAAAACAAAGTCTGTAGGAGTTAGACATGGTCATTATTTATAGTGTCTGAGAGTTTTGTGCAGGTGCATGACTTCAGTAAAAGCTGTTTACAAAGCTGGTCTTGCCATTTGTTGACGCTCCCTAAGCGCTTTTCTCTGCGCTGGATGATTCAATGGATTTTATGTTCATTAAAACAGCGCATTGGATTTGAACAATTGATGTAAATGATCATTTTGGCACAAATAATTTTGTTTAACAAAGTAGCTTTCGTGAGATATTGACCGCGGAGGTCCGAATCTGACGCAAACTTTCCCAAACTTCTGATGTGATGCTGCTGCGGACACGGCACATGGATCTATTTTGGCTCACGCTGGCGCTTCGAGCTTACGCCCCTTTGACACCGATTGGCCAAAAGGTAGACGCTTAAACTGTGATTACTGTGTGTGTATTTACCTCTGCTGGGGCCGCTGTGACAACAATACATAGACAGAAACACGGTGTTAATACCGTGCTGTTGTTCGTTGTTTCCAGTGGTGTCCAATAGTGCTAGGCTAATGTGCTAGGCTAATAGTGCTAGGCTAATGCTGCTGAATGCCGGTTTGTTTTGGTGCTTTCTGCTGGCGTCAGAGCCTGCGCAATTTAATGACATAATGACGTATCGCAATATGCCGGTATAACAAAAATCTCTACCGTGGGCCAAATTTATACCGTCTACCGCTTATACCGTTTATACCGCCCAGCCCTAACCACAATGTATTTTTTCTTCCATTGTGGCGTGGCTTTGCCCGACAGCTACTTTACCAACTATTGTAATGCATCATGGGATCACTTGCGCGCAAGGGTGGTTTTTAAGGGCCCTCGCCTCTTCTCCCCAAGTATTGGGATACCCTACAACCCCGCGGGCATGCGCAAAATATAGGGCAAGGGTGCTTTTTAAGGGCAAGGGTGAGAATTGGGACGGGTCTTAAGCTTTTTCCAACAATGGCAATCCAACACATTGAGCCTCATGTCCGATCCAGAAACAGACCCTAATTATTCAGTTAACGGAAGTATATGGGGAGTTAGGATCACTGTACTTCCCGATCGAGGCTTCTTGTTAGAGTCTATTATTGTGGGAATAACAGTTTTCCAGATCGGTTTTTGAGTATGTCCAGTTTCAAGGTAACTGTTGTTCTTGAACAGTCTTAAGCTGCGTTTTCACCGCAGGAACTCTGGGGTAATTTTCCAGGGCCAGCCCTGTCGGTGCGTGTCTCCACTGCAGGAACTTCCTCCACAGGGCCATTAACTTTATGCCCTTTTTTATACCAGTAACACATTTTCTCCAATTTCACATGATCCTAACACTTCGCTGACCAACGCAGAAAAACAGTATAGCATCATGTGGTGGACGCGGGACCATACTAAAGACGTATGTTGGACTCAGAGCTGGCTGTGCAGGGAGAGTTTCTATTTCGATTTGTCAATCACCTCCTGGATTTTAGTATTATTATTGACAACAAACAGCATTTTGGACGGCGTTTTGAGGACTTTTAAGAACCATTTTAATACAAAAAACAGGCTTCTATGATGCAGTGAAGTGTGAAATGAGGTGCGTGGTCGTACTGTGTCAGAAGGGCTGTCGAGGAGGAAGAGGATGGCTCTGTTTACATCTCCGTTACAATCATGGAGCGCCACCAAACACTCGTCCTGGCTTTTCCCTGTGACCTCAATCAGCTGAAACAGACATGTTAGAAATTGTCACTGTGTTTCAAATATACTAACGAATCATATGACTGGGGTAAAAAAAAAAATACCTGCTGGAGCTTGGCTTCAAAGTCTGGGTCATTTTTGTCGTAGATCATCTGAGCTAAACGAATCTGTTCTGCCGTAGGCTACAAGACAAAGCATTACATTGTAATAAGAACCTTTCAGTTTACACCTCTAGATACCCAAAAAAAAACCTATAAAATTGCATAGTTTATTCACTCCATCCAGTGTGAGGGTAAACTACTTCTGTAGCCATAGCTGTCGTGGGGGCCGTTGGACCATCAACGCACACACAACACAGGTTAAACACTTCACCTACATCACAGTATTAACCGGGCCCTTCCCTGCTTTGCTTCAGTTTTGACTAAAACTGCTCTGTTACTTTTGTAAGGAGTAGAATATGAGCAATTACAATGCTCGGAGACTGAATAATACATTTTTAATCTGGTCTGCATTATTTTTCATTTCTAATTTTAGTATTTTAATTTCAATAGTGTAATTGTAGTCAGCAATGACAGCATTTCACTACTCACCTGTATCTGTTTCTGTGGCTGTGGGGTGTGTGTGTTTGTGGGCAGGGTCTTGTCCCGGGTCCCCCGGGTTTGACTGCTGACCACTGAAGTCATCATATACAGTATATACAAAAATGTATGTACAAAATAGAAAAATCTGTAAGGGCAAAAAATGACAGTAAGGGCTCTCACATCTGTAATAATAAAGCAAGTAAAAAGGACAGTTTGTTACCAGGGAGACAGGTGCCCCATCAATCGATATGCAAAGATTTGTTGACCAATACATTGAGGACCTCAAAAACTCAATGCCCACCAAACCACTTAGAATTTTCAATATCTATGTGGTTTAAAATATTCAAATTCAATAATTGTCCAGCGTTAGTACCAAAATAGCACATTTCAATTAATTTTGTTTTATAAATATAGGAGTGCCTTATTTATTTACTCAAAACTATGCACAGTGGGACAAATAAAGGTTCTCTTATCAAACTTTAAATTGTGATCTTTATTTGCAGCAGCTTAATTGAAAACGTTTTTCAAACAAGGATTTTTGTTTGTTTACAAAAGAAAGTGCGGATAGTACAAAGATTCTGGGTTAAAATCCCGGTCAGAACATGGCCTTTCTGGGTGGAGTTTGCATGCTCTCCCCGTGTCTGTATAGGTTTCCTTCGGGTATTCCAGTTTCCCCAACCACTAAAAACATGTGCAAAAGTTCTGGGTGAATGAGTATGTTTGAGAGTGAGAATGGGGGACAACAAATGCAAATTAGCCCACGGCTACAATATGGAGGGATGTGTTCATTAACATGTACTGTCCCAACCAAATCACCAATCAATAAATAAATAAGTCATGAACTTTTACACAATGTCTTATGGTATACTTCTAGTGTTTACCTCTAGAAAAGCGATGTCAACAACACATGAGTTTGAAAGCAGAGCCGGGTTGTTGTGAGGCATGCCATGTAAGAGCCTAACCCCCATCTGTCGCCCCCAACTCACTGGTTATTTTTAGCCAAGAGAGGGGCTGTCCGGGTGTCCGCTTACACCCCTTAAGACTCCCACACTCAACCAAAAATGTTTCCCAATACACACATTTGACTCATAGAACAATACCATTGACCATTAAGAACAAAATGTATATAAAGTATCATTCAAGCCCTTAGAGATTCAATTTAACTTAATACAGGTTCATTTGGATGTTCAACAGTGGGTATCTAAAAATAAAATGTAAATGCTTAATAATATTTAGATAATGACGATTAACCAAATAAAATACAAACTGTTCACTTCAGTATATAAGATTATGTATGAAAAATGTTAAATTTGTCACCGAGACATAATACTGTTTTTATGCATTTAAGCCTCTTCAAGAGCCCTGTTTAGATAGAGCTGTGGTCATGGAAATGTTATGCAAGCAAGGCTTGAGTTACAGACAGAGGACTTCTTGTGTGTAGTTTTCGCTTGAATATTTAACAGCAAAGACAAAATGAAGTAAAAATATACCATACACCAATAATTATGTCATAGAGCGAATTTGAAAAAACGTTAAACATCTTGGGAGACATTGCAAACGTTAACAGATATGCCCGAAGGGCCATTAACGCTATATTTTTCGTACCTCTGGTGTAATCTAAAAAAAAACAAGGAAAAAAGGGACGATGTTGGATGCATACACAAGTTACACATCGGAGGATCAAGTGGAGACAGGCTAGCGCAAGTTAGCATTAGCGCAGCATCTTAGCTGAGCCTGCCTTTGTTTGGAGTCAGACTAAAATATGACATTACGCGGTCTTTTTTTCCAACCGCTGATGTTTTAAAATTAGTAGCAGCTTGTGGTGTACTAACGATTACGTTAGCCCTCGTTTAAGTTCGAATGGAAAGAAATTCATCGATTAAATTACATATTTTAGACTGAAAACAAGAATTGCTAACGCCTGACACACATTTAGCCTGAGATTAGCTGCGATACAACATTGTCGATACCGAACGAGCGAAGCAAATGTAATGACATCCGTTACAATAGAAACAGTGCGCATTTATTAGTCTGCTCATTTCTTGATAATCTGCTAAGATTGTTGAGCGTGTTTGAGTCTGGATAGCGGTTTGTTCCGCACGCTGCTAGCCCGGCATGTGAACGGCCTGTAATGAGGAGCTATGCTAATGCTACAAAGGCTAATTTAGCTAACAACGCAAAAATCACGTCAAGTACATCGCTTTAAATAATCTATAAAGCCCAGTGCGGTGATTGCAGAGGAAATAACAGGACAGAATAATTTGGGAGAATGTGCAAACACGGGATGATACATGTTTTTTGTTTGTTACCTGCTAACACGCTTCGCTCAGCCACAGCAGACTCCGTCACGTGACCCACCGCGCCGTTGTTCTACACGGAGGGACACACTGACCAATCACAGGCTCGGGAGCAGACACGTGTTGCGGCTGTGTCGACTGATTGCGCGCTCCCGGTGACTGTGCGCGCGCCCGTCTTTGTTTTCAGTTGAGATTCTATCACCTATAAATGCTACAAGGGCTGCTTTAAAGGCTGTCACAGTGAATGTAGTTATTTAAATCATCCTCACCATTCCTCCTCCAGAAAATCTTACAGGCTTTGCCAAGAGGAACTATATTGCATCTTTTTTTTTTGTGGAAAAAAAAAAACTTGCATAACATGATGGTAGGCCTACAGGTTCATATGGCATATAACATGCGTTCTTATAAATAAAAGCATTTGAAAAAGCTGACATTACCCTTAGACGGCTGTTACTCAATCAACCTGTATGAAACATGGACAGTGCCTTTGTCTGCACTGCATTGCATTAGGATTAAATGAATGCACTTTCACTGTTTTTGGAGAACCCATAATAACAATGACTTTTACTGATGACTATCAAACAACAGAGAAATGTACAAAAGTGAGACATATCAGTGGTTCTAATAAATCTACTGACACATCAATCATTTAATCAATAAACCAATCTTTATGTATAAAGCGCTTACAGGGATGATACACAGAGTGCTTTACAGATTATTAAATACAAATGAGACACAAGGTCTAAAACTGGGATTAAGCAGACATGATTATGATTCTGACATAAGACCAGATCTTTCCTCAGTCAGGATTCATGTCGAAATGGAGTGAAACCTGCTTGATAATAAATGCACAAAAAAGGTTGTTGACAGGCCATGTTGACATTACACATTATAAACGTATCAAAATGTTTATTGCTGCCTTCATAAAAGGCGTTTGATACAATCCTAATATTACATTAAATCAATTATTCAAGTATAAAATCACTGTCAAACATTTCTCAGCTGATGCTGTGTATGTGCATAGTTTGAATGTGCATATTCTTAATAAATAATAAACATGAACAATAAATAACTGAAAATAACGATAACTAGAAAAGCACTTTTAGAGTGGAGTTCCTTTCTTTGATGACATTTTTTATGAAATAAAATCCATTTGAACCAATCAACTAATGGATCTTTCCATTAGTTCCATTTCTAAGGTATCCTGATTATATTATTATTCCTCCTTTTTTTCCTCCAGCTAAAAGAGTTATGATGAAAATTAACAAACAAACACGCAAACAGACAAGCAAACCCTGGCGATTACATTACCTCCTTCACTGGGATAACAGCAAAGACTGTATATTTTAAGGATAGCAGTGAAGAATGTTCCAACTGGAACTGGAATGTTCCAACTGTTCCAACTGGAATGTTCCAACTGGAACATTCTTGGGAACCAGTTGGCTAACACAAAGAACCATAGTAGTGTTTTTTAAATCTAGGACACTGGGAGTAACACAAGCTTTATGTTGACCAAATTAGAACATTTTTGTTTCCTTGCTCCAAACCAGATTTTGTCCATTATCAATGCATTGTCTTTCAAATTTTCTTCAATATATGAATAAGTGATTTCATTCACAGTTTTTATATAAGGTTCTATTAAAATATTGTCTCCCCAAGTACTTTTCAAATAGATAGTGAAGTCAGGGACGTGCAGTCAGGGGAGGCAGGGGAGGCAGAGCCTCACCTGCCATTATTGGAAACTAATAATTATTTTAGTTTAAATATATAATTTATATCCACTGTCCTATGCTTTTAATGTATATTCGGCACGGTTCCCATCAGTTTTGATCATTTCTGAAGTAAAAATCGCCGAAATCCCGTTATTCCTATTCAAAGAGACGAGGTGAGGCAGCGCTCCTGCGTGCCTCACCCCAGACCGCTCCCTCACAGTGTGTGTGTGTGTGTCTGAGTGCACTCAGCTCGTGCAGTTGATATATCACCGTTTGTTTCAAATATCCTGCTTTAAAAACATTTTTTAAACTCCTCTTAGTGTTTAGTAGTGTATTGCACGTATGTGTGTACAATTTATATTTAGTTTAAGTCTTTTGATCGTAGATGAACACACAAGGAAAAAGCTTGGCGTGAGGCAGGCGGTATCTGTGCCTCACCGCTAGGGGTGATAGTGAGCATAAAGTTCATACCAGAGTTGCTAACAAACAATCAGCCCAAAATGCTATTTCTTTTGCTGGAAAATGGATGATTTGAATGAAGATTTTTTTTCTCAATTGGACTTTCAAACAAAGAAAGAATTAATATAGACTGGGAGACCACCACTGGACTTACGAGGTTAGTCCGGCTGCGGGGGAGGAGTTTGTTAATCTGTGTTTTATGTTGAACATTGACAGATACCGGCAAAGTAGTGCTTTTCCGAAAAACACTGATTCAAACACTGCTCAAGAGTTCTGCAACTTGTTTAAATTATTGTTTATGTTCCTCGCGTCTCTCTCTCCTCGCGTCTCTCTCTCCTCGCGTCTCCGTCTCTCTCTGCTCCTCGCGTCTCCGTCTCTCTGCTCCTCTCTGTCTCTCTCTGCTCCTCGCGTCTCCGTCTCTCTGCTCCTCTCTGTCTCTCTGCTCCTCTCTGTCTCTCTCTGCTCCTCTCTCCTCGCGTCTCTCTCTCCTCGCGTCTCCGTCTCTCTCTCCTCGCGTCTCCGTCTCTCTGCTCCTCGCGTCTCCGTCTCTCTGCTCCTCTCTGTCTCTCTCTGCTCCTCTCTCCTCGCGTCTCTCTCTCCTCGCGTCTCCGTCTCTCTCTGCTCCTCGCGTCTCCGTCTCTCTGCTCCTCTCTGTCTCTCTCTGCTCCTCTCTCCTCGCGTCTCTCTCTCCTCGCGTCTCTCGCACCTGCGCTTCTTAAAGATGTTGTTTGATGCGGAGCAGAGTCAGCAGCTAGATTTGTTGTGAGATTATTAAAAGAAGCTGGTTCTCTTATCTTTACAGTATATAAAGTTTGTGGATGTCATTGCATTGGTGATTAAATGCTATTTTATTTGAATAATGATTGTAAATCTGACTTTTAAAGTCAGTGCCTCCCCAATCACAAACCTCACCGCACGTCCCTGAGTGAAGCACAGTCTCTGGTTTCTCTATCACCTCTGCTGCTCATGATATAACATGTGTTTAATCCTTTGGCGTTGGAGGCCTGTCCAAAATGGTGTCCGCTTTCACAGACGGTCAGCACTGTGTTGGAGAGTGGTTTTCAGATACGGCTGCAGATGTGAGATCAAACTGCGCACACACAGAGCTTTCCTCCTCATGATCTGCTCCAGCTGCTGCACGTACTCATCAAAACCCTGAGAAGACAGAAGCCATTGGAGTCTTTATGTAAAAACAACAAATCTATAGGCAATACATTAAAGCAACATGGTTAAAGTCAATATAATCATAATGTCTCTTCATGATGTATGACATGCCATGTGTAGAATATACCCTCTTATCATCAATTATTGCAATTTCATGTTTATTAAATAACTTATACAATAGTATTAAAAGAATATTTTAGAATCCTTTTAGGGACACATAAAAAGGCTCCCACGTTTGGGCGTCTGTCTCAGACACCAAGCCAACAGGGACTGAGTCTTCTTTATGGATTTGCCAGAGCTCTACTCACCATATCAGGCTGCTGCACCAGGAGAGTTCCCTCTGAGTGTGATAAACGCTGCATCTGTTGGAGAGTCTCCATGTGAGCCTGAACAATGTGCCAGCTGTAAAAGACATGGGGTTAACACTAGACCAGCTGCTAATGTGACTGTTGAAACCAAGAAGAGAAAAACATTTTCTCAGAGACCAGAGTCACATAATAATACAACACAAAATAATGTGCAGAGTAGGGCCATTTTTCATTTGTGTTAAATATCCCTTTATTTGTCATGTGTAAGTATAATCAGTTATATCATGCTGAATGATGATATACAGATGATCTGTAATGCTCATCTACTGGGAGTGGTTGCTTTCATGTGACATCACCACATTCCAAAGAGCTAATAGTTTAAAATTGTGGTGGAGGGCCGATTACAAATCTTTTCTGGCAAAAAGTCAGACGTCTCGTCTTAGTTTAGAACTAATTCCTCTGTAATTCAATGAAACAAATTCCCACCTATGCTCTAATATAATATGGAATACATTTGTCAAAAAAGTTGTTATAATATTCAAAAAGATTTGCATGATGTTGGTCATGGTCAGTAGAAAAGACCTTCAGACAAGTAAACAAGCAGATCTTCTTTTGCCACACAAAAAATGTGTTGAATTGGCAACTGAAAAACATTCAAAACATGAACACAGCCTATTCTAAATAAAGTCATGAAATCAACCAATGAAAGGAGTGCTTAATGTTGTAGGGTGATACATTATGGGCTCTATGTGCGCCCCACACGCCAACTTATGTATTATGTAAATTATAACAATTTATGTAAAGATTTGTGAGAAATTTATGTATTGATTGTATGTGCAGGGATTTCATATGATGTGAATGTGAGTAATAAGTGTGAGATGTTGTTTATGTTATTGTATGGTTACTGTATGGTATTGTATTGTTATTGTATTGTTTTGCTATTGTATTGTTAACCAGGAACTGCAGATGAAATGAGCTGTGTAGCTATAATCTGGTGCAGAACATACTGTATCTGTCTTTAGTTTGAATTTAATGTTACTGTGCACGGCCCCTTTCTTTGAAATGAACTGATTATAGACAATGGTTTATCATCTTCATAGAGACAGGAGTTGTAATTTTGTAGTAAGCTCTTATTTTCTCTCAGGGTCAAAGATTGTTATACATTTGAATATAAATCGTATTATCAGTTCAAAGCCTGTGATGTGTTTTTCTTACTGAGCGCCACTCGTCCAGGCCTCAGATGAGCTCGGGGTCTTCAAGACGTCGGTGCTGCTGCTCTCAGCTTGAGCAGGTGGTGGCGCTGTGCTCTTCTTGTGACTCTTGTGGAGAATGAGAGCGTTCTCAGGGGAGACAGACTGTTCTGTGGCTGTGGTCCCTCCAAGTCGCTGTGAATGGAACTGTATGGCCCACGGAATCATAGAGGAGCCTGCGAAAGAATATTAAGAAAAAACATAACTTTACTTATGAACTTGACTTATGCACACTGGTGTCTTTTGCTAATTTATTCCAATGTGATCTGAGTGAAAATGGCAAATAAAATGATTCTGAATCTGATCTTTAACATGTGTCCATGCTTTTGATTGGAATAATGTTTTATGAATTTATAACCTGTAACTTGGCCAAGAAGAGTCATGTAATAATTGTGCATGCAACTTTTGCTGTTGATGACTAATAAACTCAACTAATGTAGTGTACCTTTCATCTATTTTTCTCTTATAATAAAAGTATCGTGACTAGAATTTTGATGAAATCTTGAGCTCACCATACATAGAGGTTTTATACATTTGCAAGATCAAAATGGCTCAAAACCTAATTGAGGGCATACAGTGGTTAAGTCTGTTATTTGGCTGTAAAAAATACCAACAACACTTCTTGGAGGCAATAACTGTAATTTAAAAATAACTGTATTAAAGAAAATCTACACAAAAATATTTTTAAATCCTTTTAAAGTCCTTTAAGCTGTACGAGTGGTCAGCATGGTGCATTAACTTTTGATCACAGTTGTGTCTACGTTGCTCCAGGATCATATTCACCCTCGCTGTTCCGTAGGTCTTTCCTTTCTGCTGCTGTCAGACTGTACAATGAGAACTGCTGAGCCTGTAATTTTCATTAATCTATAAATAAGTAAATTCTTAAATCATGTGCAATGTACAATACTGCAACTTCAGAATGTACTCTGAACAATGTCACTTTACTTCATCTACTTATTATCCTGCCCTATATGTACAGTATATAACTCTGCACTACTACACATGTATTCATATATATATTTTTACTGGTATTGAAGCATTTTCAGCATCTGCAGCTAGTTAAGAAACATAGCTACTACTATTTTATATATTTTGTGTGCTCCCTGTGTGCTCTTACTACTGTCCAGTATGTGTGCTGCAACATCGAAATTTCTCCGCTGTGGGACGAATAAAGGAACTCTCTTATCTTATTGTTTTAAAGACCTTCCAAACAATTGATCCTGTAGCATCTTAAGGAAATGTGATGAAAAGTAGAGGATCCATGCTGACCCCTGATACAGCCACTGGATCACGACAAGGTCATACATGCAAAAACATCAACTTCTATTTTCACAAAAAGTGTCGCATAAAGCACCCCTGAGAAGTTTACAGTATTTAGACAAAATGAGCAGGGGGACAATTTGTGCCAGATGATCCAATCAAAACAACTTTGGATATGTTACTGATAATGATTCAATCTTGTTGTAAATAAACAAAACTGCAGCATGGCTGATTGGGTAGGTGACTGAAATGTGGAAATTACCCCTGTGTGATTGCAGAAACTCACTTATGGCTTGGGGCACGTCCAGGTAAGAGTCGTCAGCGCCTTCTTCTGGTTCCCACACAGATTCCTCAACGTATTCTTGTATTATATTGAGATTGGACACTGAAGATGGCTCCTGTTCCTCCTCCAACATAGAACACGTGAGTAGATCCATATTTGCACTTCTATGTTGCAGCGGTTCAGATTCTGAACAGTTAAAATCAGAAAGTATCAGCAGTGAGCGGCTATTCTCAACCCCAGGAGACAAGGGACGTTCTGCCGGGGCTTTTAGGTTGTGAAATTCACCCGAAGAATATGCTTTTGTGTCATAAGCTTCAACACCGTCAATGTTTGAGCATCTTCCTGAGATCTCTTTGTTGTCTGACATCCACGCCCATTTCGTTCCACCCTTTTCCAATGTCCTTTCGAATGTTGCGCCCGTTTTGTTGATTGCAACTTTCAAATCCAGACTTTCATCGTTGTTCAACAACAGATTTGTCTCAGAACATGGCTGCGCTTTTGTGACGCAAGCTTTAAAATGACCCAAGAAGTCTTTAAAATCCCCTGAAGATGATGCAAAGATGAGGCTTTCAACAGCATGTGGATTGGCCTTAGGGGAACTGGTAGTGGATGTATTTGGAGCGGACATAAGTGGATCGAACTGCTGCAAATGCTGGTGGTAAAGTTTAAGATGTTTTCTTTTCTCCTGGTCTTCCCGAATTAAACCTTTACCTTTATGATTTTTATCAAGCATTGGTTGATTTACAAGATTCCAATGACAAAACCCATTATATTTCTCCTCTGGCTGACTGTTTACAGGTGAAATCTGCTCAAATATTTGTTTTGTAATTTTTTCCTCGTTGCCTTTGCGATTCTTTGGCGTTGAGCTGAGAAATGCTTGGTGATGGTGTGTTGTGACGGGAGAGGGGTCAGTGAGGACAGTGGAGCTGGTCTTGGCTCTCTTAGAGGGGCTGGAGTCCCTGAAACCGGACCTAAAGGTGCCACTGCTCCGATTCTGGGAGAGGGTTCGGAGTTTTGGAGATTCAGAGATGTTTTTGACTCGTCTGCCTTTACGCTGCCCCTTCTGCCCTTTCAGCTCTTTCACACTGTTAAAAGGAATGAGGAAGAACGAGTAGTATTAAACAAGTTTGCAAGTTGTATAATTTCCTGTCAGTTAAGGACATCTGTTGCATAAGTCATGTATTTATGTATTTATATGCCGCAGAACAGGTTTTAATTGGTCCCGATAATTGCTTTTCAAATGAGGGACATCTACGTGTACCTAGATGTGGAGGTGAGGGGTGTCAAAAAGCTAAAACTATGGCTTGAGGTTGAACAAAATATTGTTGGTGTTAGAATATATTGTTTGTTTGTCAATGCCCATCATATTGTATGATACATTAGTAATTACTATGATTATGTTTGATTAATAAACATGTAATGCGCTCAGTATTGTGCTTGATACGCTCTGGTTGATTTGGGTTCTTACCGGTCGGCGTATCGAAGCGTGTTGAGGGTGTGCTCTGTGGAGGAGTGACCAGGAGAGATGTTTGCAATCATACAAGTCATAGAGTCTCCCACAAACGAGTCTTTCAGCACCTAAACGCAACACAACACAGTTATTAGTTACAGACAGTGATATGAAACAGGCAGGAACACACTGGCAGCTGTCATACATAGGATAAAATAAGATAAACTTTATTGATCGCAAATGGCTTTGAGAATGAAACACAACAAGAGCAAGGACTCATGAGAGGATCCAACTGGAAACAACTGCTCTGGACTTAAAGTGGTTCAAACTATAGACAGTATAAGTACCGACCTGAGTGAGTTTGCTCTGCCTGAAGGGAGTGTGGCCCTGCTCCTGGTCCAGAGAGCGGATACACTCCTTCAACTGAAAAACACATTGCACAAGTTGACACATTAGCCATGTTTATAAATCTATACATGATTAAAATATTGTATACAATCTATAATTGTTGGTTTGTTGTAATTGTTTGTTTGTTGTGTTTGTGATGTGGTGTTTGTATTTTATGGACTTTGAAGCTGACAAATAAAGATAATAATAATTGTGCTGTAACCAACGTGGTATGAATAAGGAGATTTTGGGGCAGCCATTTTGTGATTGGAGGAAAACGTTTATTTAAGAGTGGCCTATATTTGTTTATTAAAGAATGTAGACCTTGTTTCATAAATACATGTGATCAAAAACCCTGGGTTGCCCATCCACACCATCTGTCCGTGCTGCCGGGTCATTTTGACTCCGCTTTCAAATCACCTTTCAAGCTTGTCTTTATCCCGAGCCGTGTTCAAAAGGACACAAATAAAGCGGTAATTTAAACATCAAAGTGTCACTTGGACCCTCACATTACTAACATTAATCAAAGGAATTCGCATTTTTCAGATCTATAGGTAATGTTGACTTTACAAATGAGATGCCCTCACATATATTAATGGATCTGCTGGGACTGACGAGCTAACACAGGAACATTGTATTACTTTATTATTATTATTATAAATGATATAGTATAATAACGGATATATTATGTCCATCCTCCTTAACCCACCTTTTAACACTGATTATAAAAAAAAAAACATGATTTCTCCTATGTGAGATAAATAAAGCACATCTTATCTTATCTTGAACACAGGTCCAAACACCCGGGTCTTCAGCATAGACTGTATTGTCTTCAGTCTGAAAATTGATTTTATCTTATTAGAAAACATGATATGTTTTACTTACTGAGGGCTGAGTGAGGGTTGGTACTCTCTTTATGAAATAAAGATGTGACAGATATCAGTAAAAACTATAGATACCATAACTGTTTTAGAAACTAGTTGCATGGATGTATATATCTTTGTGGTTTCAAAGTTATATAAAATGAAATATATATGTGAATCAGATAAATGTTTGTAAAGTATAAAGTAGTATACTTTATTGTGGGTTATATAAAGTAGTATAAAGTTAAAGTGCTACATCAGTAGAGTTTTACATCATAACGTTACAACAGAATATTGGTTTGTATAGGTTTCCATGGAGTTGATTCTAGCCATTATTGATAGATCCAGTAGTTAACTGCAAAAATATAAACCCCAGCCCAATAGTACCGCCAGCAGGCTCTGGTTGATCTCCGCTCCTTCTAAACGGCTGCGTCTGTCTGGGTCTCCGGAGTCGGATGCTCTCTCACTGCCGGCCAGATCCACAAACCACATCCTGGAGAGAGAGTGCACTCAGGAACAATAATGCACAGTCACTGCCACTCACACTTCTCCTGATCCATGCAGCCGCAAACATGCAAACGGAAATGATAGAACCTCAGTTTGCATTTGATACACTTTGAGCATTGGATTTTTTTTCACTACAAATAAACAAAATAATAAACTAACGCCACCCATCCATCTTCTTCCCCTTAAATCATTTCCGGGTCCATCTCTGTGCACCCAATTCACAGAGCTCCAGCCCAATAGACTAGTAAAACTAAATGTATTCTTCATGTCAAAACTAGTATATTGGCATGACTGTTTCTTTCTTGCAATTAAATGTGTGTGCTCGTCTTATCCTATTAGTAACAGATGGCGTGTGGTTACAGGTGAAACTCAAAACATGTAAATAATATCATTAAAATTTCTAAAGTTCTAAAGTATAAACGAGCATAACAAAATATACAAAACTATTCTATAGGAAAATATTAAACAAATTAGATTATTCAGAATACAGTAATGTTGTACCTCACAACATAAATTTCAAAGCTGGCAAATATTGTATAACTAGATTTTCAATCTATGCTCTGTCAGATTAGTGAGCGTACGAGTGCGTGTGTGTGGGTGCATATGTGTGTGTGCATGTGTGTGGTGGCTGACCGGCCGTGCACGCTCTGACCCGCTCCTCTCAGCTGGATCTGGAGCAGAGCGTGAGAGCGAGACGACACAGGGTTCACTCCGCTGCTGCCCTGACTGCGGTGCTCTGTGCCCCGAGAGATCACCTGCAAACACACACACACACAAACATACAGTACACACACACACACACACACACACACAGACAGGGCAAATAACCATGGAAAAAATATCTCCGAACTTCCTTTTCATTCTGATTTTAAAACCTGATTTTTGTTGATATTTTAAAACACAGAATGTATGGCTTGGTCTACATCCATTTTGATGGTTTATTTTACTGTGTTGTTGAACTACAAACAGACACTGATCGGCCAATTAGCACCAGCTAGCACCTTCTGCACTAAATAAATAAACACTTATTTCACATATTGTGCCAATACAAGTCTCATCTTGGATCATACAAGTCTATCATTACAAGTCTAACATTTTTGTGGCAAGCTCTCTGCCAAATTTTTGGCAGAGAGCCAAAAGTGGTAACTTTTGTTTGTTACTTACGTGGCAATAAAAATGATTCTGATTCTGATTTTTGCTGTTCTGTTATTTAAGAAAACCCCCTGTGACCTGCAGCAGTGAGTCGACTGATTCCACTCTCTTGTGACACAGTCCTGCGATGTGCACGTTCCCACAGCCGTCCTCTCGAGCAAACAGTCTGCAACCAAACATACCACAACCTAAAGTCTAAGTTGTAAATTGAGGAAAGTCGGGGCACAGTGGCTCCCCTTCTGGCTATGATGAGAAGTCTTCAACGAAGCCTATTCATGAAATAAACGTAGAGCACACTAAATAGGCTGCAGTCCATCCTATATTTATTTGAGCTTCTTTGCATCTAGGTTCTTACAAAATCCTCTCATCAGTAGATAGATTAAATGTAAATAGATATGAAGTATTATTACATACAAGAGGCCAGTAATGCATTGGAGAAACACCTGTTTCTGTGGTCCAGAAGGTCGTAGAGCTGTCCACAGTAGATCTCAAAGAAGCTGACGAATACAGTGAGGCGGGTGAGAGCGGGGGAGGAGGAGAGGTGAGAGAACAGGTCTTTAACGGCCAGAGAGTACAGACCCAGCTCCCCTCGCCCCCTGGACTGGCTGGGTCCAACTGGGGAGCAGCCTAGCATGGTGTGGGTCTTCCCTGCTCCTGTTTGTCCATACGCAAAACAAGTGGCACTGCCCCTACAGATCAAAGATTCAATCCGTTCATTCAAAGACACATGAAAAAATGCAACATTCAGTCATCAGAAAGAGATCTGGAGTTGTTGTTAATCGATTTTTCCACATTAATGATATAATGGAATTTCAGAATTAAAACAAGTTGTTATTTTTTAACAACTTGTCCTAGGTCTTCCCCGGGAGGAGGCCCCGGAGAAGACCTAGGACACGCTGGAGGGACTGTGTCTCTCAGCTGGCCTGGGAACGCCTTGGGGTCCCCCCGGAAGAGCTGGAGGAAGTGTGTGTGGATAGGGAAGTCTGGGCGTCTCTGCTTAGACTGCTGCCCCCGCGACCCGGCAACGGATAAAGCGGAAGAAAATGGATGGATGGATGGATGTTATTTTTTTCCTTGCCAATGCAGAGGGGTCTAAGGACAGTGGTGATGATCGAGGAGACTCAACATTAAACAACATTTATCAACATTGGTCATATACGTCTTATGGACCAATAGCTTGATGTGTTTTTTTCAGGAAACAGGGTAGCATTTCCTTTCCAACAACAGCAACCCTCTTTCTACATTTATGTGTTTTTTTATCATTGCATTTCCTGTGTTTGAACTGTTTGATTCTCTGATCTGTGTTGGCAAATTCAAAGGGTTTTGCAAAGTCCTCAGAGATAACAGTTGCTAATGTTGTGATTTAGGGCTATATAAAAATAATTGTAATTGAATTGAATTGAATAGGGCAGTTGAGAATGTTTGACATAAGAGCCAAAATGTCTATACATAACTGTAGGCATTTTACAGTAGGCCCTGCAGACCTGTGTTTATAGACACATGTTGAAACACTACGTCGACTTTCAGCATCCGTATTCAAAAGTCACAGCCGGATAATGGACACTGTCAAAGTTATCATCCAACTTCACAAAGGAAAGAGCCAGACCAAACTTTGATGGTTTCACTCTTGTTACACAGCTTGTTATGCTGTAATTATGCTATCATGCTATTATGCTGATTATGCCATTAAGCTAAATTGAGAGATTTTATTTTAGTATAGAGTTATTGTTCATTTAACGTGTTGTGTGATCCTCATTCCTACTGTTGATGCAACACTGAAATTTCCCCACTGTGTGACAAATGAAGGATCTCTTAATCCTTTCATATTCAGTGTTTGCGAGAAGTTAGTGTCAACAGTGTCAGTGAACATTTGTGCTTACCCCTGGAGCATGTGTTGGACTAAAGGCTGGGCCGTCCTCAGGTACACCTCCTCATTAGAGCAGGCCTCCCCAAACACATGGTCGAAGAAAAACCTGTGCTGCAGAAAGACAAGCCCTGTGACTCTAGAATTGCTCTGGGGAAATCTTTAATCATGATCATCATCAGCTTCAAACACAAATAACATTGTCTAAAAATATCATTACAGGGAACCAACACATCCTGTCCACATTATTCTGAATACGCTCTGACTCTCATGTCATGCCAGCGTTACCTGCAGTTTATAGTGCGTCAGATCCACTGCTGCTCTGCTCTCCTGCAGTACACAGCTCTGACCAGCAGAGGTCACTACATCAGTCTCCTTTCTCCTCTCCTCTGCAGAGGTCAGCGGTCTTTTCCTCACACACACCCAGATCCGCGGTTCACCTGGTCTCCTGCTCACACACATTAAAGCTGATTACTTTGATCAGTCACTTTCATTACAAGAAAACTATGCAGTGTTGATGCTCCAGACGTCATGGCATTGCTCCCTGTGACAATGACAACAAAATATTGAGTCTTGAATGATTCAATAAAACATGTGAACAACTAAAGTATAATGGTTGAAAGGTTTACTTCTCCTGACTATCTTACACATTCCTCACAACTTAGTTATTCCACTGGATGGTTGTAAGCATAGCCTTCAGAGTGTCACGTGGGTGAAAAACAAGGAGACACATAACTGCAAAATAATGGTATGGAGGACCAAAAATGACTAAAGTATAAATAAATAAATAAATAAATAAATACAGGAATATATTAATAAATACATTCATTTTGGACAATAAAAACTAAATATTTACATTGATATGTTAAATATTACTATGAAATCAAATAAATATACTTTTATTTAGGTTATTTATCAATATCTACATTTTTTCCTTTATTTATTTATCCATTTGTTGCATATATTTATTTATGTATTTCTACATTTCTTCATTTATTTATTTATGTATTTCTACATTTCTTCATTTATTTATTTATGTATTTCTACATTTCTTCATTTATTTATTTATGTATTTCTACATTTCTTCATTTATTTATTTATGTATTTCTACATTTCTTCATTTATTTATTTATGTATTTCTGTGTTGCCGTATGCTAATTAGGCGGGCGGTGCTGAACTCAATCAATAGCAGGATTGGTGGGCAGTCGGTCAGCCAGGGCAACCAGACAGAAGGTAAAAAATAGGATTTACGGCCAAAGTTAGCCTTCTCGGTTTGTGAGAGGATGTGAAGCTGCTGTATAGCTTGTTGAAGAGCGTCCAGCACAGTTGCATCAAAGTCTACCTCTGGGTCAGCACTGTGATGAACTAAAACATCTAATAGTCTTTCCAGCCGAAAGAGTAGATAGTCCTCAGGTGCATTATGCTCAACATCATTAACATCATTTGCTAATGCTCTTAATTGATGAGCAATGGCTCCTAAAAAACTTACATTCGAAACTGCCATTATACCACACAAAAGTGCACAGAGGATCTCTAGCTAGCTAACAGAGTACCGTAATGTGAGGCAGTAATGATCGAGACCAGAGTTCACGCAATCCTAACCAATCCTGTTCTAGATTGAGTTCAGCACCGCCCACCTAATTAGCATACATGAACACAAAAATACATAAATAAATAAATGAAGAAATGTAGAAATACATAAATAAATAAATGAAGAAATGTAGCGACACAGAAATACATCAATAAATAAATGAAGAAATGCAAAAATACATAAATAAATAAATGAAGAAATGTAGAAATACATAAATAAATATATGCAATAAATGGATAAACAAATAAAGGAAAAAATGTAGATATTGATAAATAACCTAAATAAAAGTATATTTATTTGATTTCAGAGTCATATTTAGCATATCAATGTAAATATTTAGTTTTTATTGTCCAAAATGAATGTCCATCCATCCATCCATTATCTACCCCTTAATCCATTTCTGGGTCGGGGGGGTGGCAGTCAGAGATGCCAACCAAGTCTCATAGCACCAGCCCCTCACTGACCCTCTGCAGGTGGTGAGTCCACAGGAGGACGGCTGCTCCTAAGTGTGAGCATAGCCTTGATCTTTCAGCGGGGGCTTTGGGCAATTAGGGGTTAAGTGTCTTGCCCAAGGACACAACGACAGCAGTCATCAGTGGGAGTCGGTGGAGAGGGTGTTGGGGTGGGAATTGAACCCACAACCTCCAGGCCTAAAGGCCAATGCTCTACCAACTGAGCTACTGTCGCCCTCAAAATGAATGTATTTATTAATATATTCCTGTATTTATTTATTTATTTATTTATTTTTTACTTTAGTCATTTTTTGTCCTCCATAATAATGGCTTTAATAAAAAGTTAAAATCAAGATCTTGCAAAAACACGGAACGAGGACAGAACTGAAACAGACGAGGAATGACAATGACGGAACAGGGAGTGAAGGAACACACCGGGCTAAGTACAAGACTAACGAGATACAGGTGATACACATGAGGGCAGGGCAGGTAATCAGGAAACAGGAAGAGCAACCAAAGAGGGAAATAAACCTAAACCATGACAGTACCCTCTCCTCAAGGGAAAGGATCCCAGACGTCCCAAAACAAAACCAGGGAGGGAGGAAAGGGGCCGGGGCTGGGACGTGGAGTCAATCAGGATTCAAAAACAGATCGCTACCCTGTCAGCTGTACTCAACATGAAAGAACACAAGCAGGACACACTGGCAAGTTTTCTGGGTCACGAGATCCGGATCCATCTGCAATATTACATACTACCGCAAAGAACACTGGAGGTGTCAAAGGTCGGCAAAGTATTGCTGGCATTGGAGCAAGGCAGAATTCCAGAATTCAGAGGAAAAAGCCTGGATCAAATCCAAATTCATCCTCATGTGAAATTATCTGAGGTTGATCCTGACACAGAGGGGACAAAAGGAACTTCAGAGCCAATAACCATTCAGCCACATGCGGCCGACAGGACTGCTGCCACATCGTCTGAATCAGGGAGAAAGCCATGGTCACCATCTGAAGTTAAAGCTGTTGAAAAGACACGGATGACTTATAACGACTGGAAAAGTGCTTGGGAAAGCGCCCTGTTCAGCATGCATTCAAGCGTCTCCAGAGGAGCTAAGACATCACACATGGAGAGCAATTAAGTTCTACAGTATTTCCATAATAGAATAAGTTCAATAAAATAAAATAAAAACGAAAACTTTGCATGTGTCCAAAAAAAATCTAATTTAATAAAATGTAATACAAAACAAGAGCTAGCAAAAAAACCACAGGGAACCAGGACAGAACTGACACAGACGAGTAATGACAATGACGGAACAGGGAGTGAAGGAACACACAGGGCTAAATACAAGACTAACGGGACACAGGTGATACACATGAGGGCAGGGCAGGTAACCAGACAGCAGGAAGCACAACCAAAGAAGACACAGGAATATCACTAACTGTCACTCCCGAATTCGTCCCGGAAAACGGATTCGTCCGGAAGTTCAGTTTGACCATACACGGCACTAGATCACGTCTAGATCCATGATCACGTCACGGAATCGGGACTGAAGCGGAAGTAAATATAACAAACTATCTATTAATGCCTAAACTTAACCAGCCATTCCCATAAAATAACCCCCAACTCAGCCTTAACACTGACCTTAACCATCTTACTTAGACACCTAAACTTAACCAGTCACCACTTAAGGACTTATTAACTGAACTCCAGTAGCTAAACAAACTACAAAATAAAACAGAAAATAAACCTAAACCACAGAGACCAGAGTGCAGATGGACGTCATAGTAAAATAGTGTGAGCCAATAGCTATACCTACTTCAGTGGCACCAACAACATGGAAATTTAAGTTACAATTAAGACTATAGTTCGATGAGACAGGCCTTTCTTTACAAGTCACCGCAAATGATGAGGACAAAGAATCATTGTATTTTAGTGGGGACACATTCATTCATTCATTCAAATACATGGATACGATCTTATTGTAGCCATCAACCCAAACTCTTGGACACAGGACGTCAGGACCAAACACATTCACTTAGATATTTAGAGGACTAAGACATAATAAATGTCCCACAATAATCATAAAAACCCAATATAAAGAGGACCCGTTACCTTTTGCTGGGAGAGGGAGGCGCGCTGGCTTGGGGCAGTCCGTAGCTGTACTCAGACAGATTGGCCTGGTACACCGGTGTCTTCTGCTTTTGCACATTTTCCTTATCCACGGTTGGTTTGTTGGTTTTCCTTCCTGATGTATTCTGTTTTGGTTTCAAATCTCTAATGTAGTTTACATTTTTGACATTTTTTTTTCTTGTTTCACTATTCAAATTTCCGTTATCTAACCTAAAGCTGTTACAAGATGTTTTTGTAACTACTTCTTTATCAGTCTCAGTGGGATTCTCACACACAGGCTGCTTATAGGCTGTTTCTGGACTGAAATCTAGCTTTCTGCACACTGAAGACCGATTGGACCATGTTTTATTGTCACGTTTTTGAGCGCTGTTTGAGGGTGACGGCAGGACGTAACAGGCATCCTCTTGGATCTCGGCCTGTAGCAGAGTCTCCGCGTCCAGAGTCCTGAGCTCTCGGACCAAATGGAAGAGTCTGGTGCGGTCCTCCATGCTTTTGATGCCCAAAAGAGGGAAGTCGTCCAGGGTTAGGACCGTGAGGTGGGCCACGCTGCGCACTCCCACAGAGCTCAGTCTGATGGAGAATTAGCATTATTACAAGATATGAATGAGAAGCAAACATATAGTGTTTATTATTATTAAGATTATTATGATTATATAATATGTTTTATTTTATTTGACTATGTAGAGATCCAGTGGCTTCATACCTTACCTTTTGATCACAGTTGTCTCTACCGTGTTGTGTAGGTTTTCTGCTGAGGGACCACCTCAGCAGAGAAAACATTACAAACATCCTAGAGACCACTGTGATGGAAAGTAAAGGCAACATGCTGACCACTCATACAGCCGCAAGGACACTGAGGTCAAATAGGGAAAAATGTATGTATTGGTACATGTAAAGTTGCATTGGTTAAGTTGGGTTGGTTAATTCCTTAATTATAACAACCCCCCAGACATAAACCTAAGCTGCTTTATAAATGTAGGCCTGTTTTTATCATGTTGTTGTAGATTAATGAGTGAGGTGGGGGTGAATTTGGATCAATGATATCCACTGCTTTACCATTTCATAGGACTAGGATAAGTTATACTGGAGACAAGCAGGTAAGTGATTAAACTCTTGTGTTTGCTGTTTGTGACCACACGAGGTCGCTGCTCATCAGAGATTTCAAGTGTGATAACTTAAAATAAAATATATTTCAACTCATCGATCAAATTCCATATTCTTAAATACACATTAATTACGACCCACAAATCTTGTTCATTTATTCACACACAACGTTATCTAGAAAACATTACAAACATCCTAGAGACCACTGTGATGGAAAGTAAAGGCAACATGCTGACCACTCATACAGCCGCAGGGACATCAAGGTCAAATAGGGAAAAATATATGTTTTGGTACATGTCCATCCATCCATCCATTTTCTACCCTTTAATCCATCTCTGGGTCAGGGGGGTGGCAGTCAGAGATGCCACCCAAGTCTCATAGCACCAGCCCCTCACTGATCCTCTGCAGGTGGTGAGTCCACAGGAGGACGGCTGCTCTCTGAGTGTGAGCATAGCCTTGATCTTTCAGTGGGGGCTTTGGGCAAAGTGGGGTTAAGTGTCTTGCCCAAGGGCACAACGACAGCAGTCATCAGTGGGAGTCGGTGGAGAAGGTGCAGAGGTGGGAATTGAACCCACGACCTTCTGGCCTTAAGGCCAATGCTCTACCAACTGAGCTACTGTCGCCCACATGTTTTGGTACATGTAAAGTTGCATAATGCCCTTATAAATACAATGTATTATAATTATTATTAAAAAAACAAGGGATTGTTTTTTAATAATAATTATTGTTGTAAATATGTAAATTTCTCCACTGAGATAAATAAAGTTGATCTTATCTTATCTTAATTTAGACACAAAGATGATTAAAGATCAACATGTTTATTGCAAGTACGGAAAGTAACGAATTACAAATACACTTTTTTCATGTATACATTTGGAATCCATGCCTATCTGTTTATACATGGATATTGGATGACTGATTTGCTTGTATTAGGACTGCAATTAACAATTACACTGATAAATTGGGATTATTCTTTTGATATGCATTTGTTGTTGTTCATCCATGAATACATTTTTTTTAACCAGTCTGACCAATGAACAAAGGTAAAGCAATGCCAATCTTTATTAAGACTCAATATAAGATAATTGGTTGTTTGATTCATTTGATTAGGAAAAACATTCTACAAACTCACCAGTGAGTTCAAATCCATATTTAACACTCATCCAGAAGCTTAAAAGAATTACTATTAATTCAGGACATATTTGTAAATGTTTATACTTGTGATTGATAATGGATACTCTGTAGTTTGCTCTGGTTGATCATGGTTTCAGTTTTATTTCTGTCCATTCAAAGGCTCATGATGTGGTGCGGTTACCTGTTGTAGTGATGCTGCAGCCCCACAGCCCTCAGACTCTCGTACAGACACTGGGACATGTCTTCTGTCGTGTTGTCAATGGGACGCTGCTCTTCTCTGCAGTGTTGTGCCCGCAGAGGAAACCTGACTCCCGGCCCTGGAACCATGTCATGCATTTCGCAACACACAAATATTATAAAAATAGCCACGGCAGATGAGCAGCTGATACAATCCCTGGTCTATAGTGTTGGCAACCTGCATATCTTGATAGAAATGTTTCATACTTGAGCATTTACCCATCCAGAGAGACCTTAACAAAACAATGGCCATTTCATATTACAGGCACTAGAAATTTGGTCCATAATTTGAATAGGACACATGCGTTGGTCAGCTGTAAATGAAATACTGATAAATCCATGGAAAGAGAAAGTTAAAATCCTACTTTGACACATACTCCATGTAGAAAGATCAATTTTATGCCAAACTGTGTAAGATTATAGACAAAGGAACACAATTGACATGGAAACAAGAGGGTAGATGCCAAAAAACAATGAAGTATGATTGTTTTTCTGGACATGCAAGTCCTCTGTAAGGAAGCAGGCGAGATTGTATTTGGTCTCTTAATTTTACTTATATGCACTGAATATGATACAAAAATTATTACAATTCTTTTCATATTAACTATTTATTTTATTTATACTTTATTAAAGACTCACATGCAAGCACAGGATGCATAGCTAAGAATAATGAAAAAAAAGTTATTATTTTTTTTTATTGTTTTTTGAGTTCTGTTGAAGTTTGGGTGTTTTTTTGAATGAAAGACATCACGAACAAGTAGCGCTAAAAAAACGCAGGTTTAATGCTAGCTGTGTATTATTCATGCTAGCGTTAATTCCACGGTAGGCTAATTGTAATAATACATTAAAACACACGCGTTGATAGCCAATGTAAGTGTGGAAATGCTCACCTGTTAAAGTACAGACAGTCTGCAGTGGCTTTTCCACCAGAGACAGATCCAAACAAACTTTAGCGTCAGTATCACTATTTCCGCACACAGGCACGTTTCCATGGTGACGCGCTCGGCTCCGCTTACGTTCGCGCGGCTGTTCGCTTCTGTTCGCGTCCAGTCCGCTTTGGGTGACTTTATAGTTTCTGGCCTGTTGGCTTCTGTAGGTGAAAAATGAAAAGCGAGCTCCAGTAATACAACCAGTGCATTGGGTTGACGGATAATCCTTCTTTGGGGGGTGGGTTGGTTAATTCCTTAATTCTAACAACCCCCCAGACATAAACCTAAGCTGCTTTATAAATGTTGGCCTGTTTTTATCATGTTGTTGTAGATTGATGAGTGGGGTGGGGGTGAATTTGGATCAATGATATCCACTGCTTTACCATTTCATAGGACTAGGATAAGTTACTGGAGACAAGCAGGCAAGTGATTACACTCTTGTGTTTGCTGTATGTGACCACACGAGGTCACTGCTCATCAGAGATTTCATTTGTTTTTTTTTCTCTCTTCTTGATTCTCCCTCAGTATAGGAGCAAATTGATGGAAGCAAGGCCATCATACTGGCCAATGTAGCTGAAGTGTGTTGCCTAGTAAGGACATAATTAAGGATTGCAGTAAACATAAAGCTGCGGAAAGCTTTCAAAGAACAAACTATATAATCCATGTAACTTTCTCCTGGCTCTAAAACAGGTTCGCTCTATCACTAGTTTTCACATTCATAGGTTTTTGACCTCTTTTTCAGATAGAAAAGTCAAAAAGAGAGGACCCTCACGCCGCTCTGAGCTCAAAAAGTCAAATTGTGATTAACAAGGCTCTTTCTTACAAGTATGCAAAAGATAATCATACCACAAATGTTGTGGTCAGATTTGTTAAAGGAGCAATATGTAATATTTGCATGTCAAGTCATCATTAAATGACCCGAATATTTCAAAAGGCGTTATTAAATCATACTCTTTTCGAATTCATCTTTAACTGATAACAGTAGTTCAGCCGAGATATTTGATTATCAAAATTAGTTTTACGACCCGTAAAAGTTGTTATTGTTTTGATTTTGATGTCCTACCCTCCGCCGTTTCGCCAATCAGGAAGTGTCATGTAAGTCCGTGATCGGGTTGCCAGAACTCCGTGCGGCTCACTAATCTCAGAGGTAAAATAACATGTGGCGCAGAACTAAAAAAGGTCTTGTTATGACTCTCAAATCATTAATGACAAAACAAAGACTAAAACGAGGATCTATATCGGGATGCCTTTGAACGATTGAGACAGCTGATAAAAGTTCACGTGTGATGCAGAATTTTCTAGTTTGACTCCGTTCTTCACAGTGAGTCTAACTGTGTGAATCGGTGGTATAGTGGTCAAAACTGTGCGCTTACGAAGCAGGAACCCGGGTTCGATCCCGGGATATGTCTTTTGTATTTATTGCATGTTATCACATTCGATGACAGATTGCTCTAAAAACGGTAAAAGACGAAGGTCAAGACGTTTTTTCGCAGATTATAGCTTGATTGTAAAAATAATCATTTCAGACCACATGTACCCCAATTAAAATAATGTTAGTCTCTTTTTGATGTGGGACTTTTACATGTTTGTCTAAAAAATAGGGAATAAATAAAATTGAAAGGTGATATCCTCTTGAGCAAACCCTGATGTTGATACGCTGAAGAAATACGTTCCAACATCCATTCTTCCCACTCCTATTTTGGACATCAATTGCTTATTTATTTTGCATAAACTATGTATAATTACATTGCTTTTATTTTGTTTTAGTTTTTTATCTCAAATGTCCAAATAATAGTAATAAAAAAACATGAATAAAAACATTGATTCAGCATTAGCACGGCTCATGGCAATGTGAATGGAGACGGACAAACAACTGATAAAATAATTCCCTGTGTTTGCTGCTGGATTTGGTGTGAATCTGGCAACCTGAGTCAGGGAGAGTGGGAGAGGACTACAAAATATTGACTGTGACTGCAGTACCACTTTTGGCCAGATTTTTACATATTGCTCCTTTAAGTATCATAGGGCTTGATTAGCAGACATTAGTGTACACACTTTACTTTTGTAGAGAAGAATATCTCGATGACAGTTTAGGCCCCCAGCCATCTCTCTGTGGTGCCTGATATTACAGATGGATAGTGGTGGATATCACAATCCATCTGTAATGTCAGGCCCGAGAGCAGTCTTTGAGACCTGCCTGGTTCACAGGACTACAGCACCCTCGGCCCATCTCCAGATGGTTGAGCTCTTTGACAGAAGTCAGAACCTAAGCTGGATAATTATATGGTGCTTGAAACCCACTCATAGATAAAATGGAAATACCACTCACACAACTGTACGATCAAACTAATCAATATTGATTCATTAATTGTTTGAATATTTATTCTCTTTTTGTAACTTGTAAATGTGTTTATTTTATAAACAATGCATTCTTATATAATATATATTTTTTACTGTAGAGAAGGAGAGGGAAACCTGAAGATTTCCAATGTTACCTTTGTGTTTGTGCAAATTGTGTTGCCTCATCTTTTGCCTATGCGGCTGTAGTTTTGTTAACCTTACATAATAATTATCATTTTAGGAAATTCTGTTTTTTCCATTGTTGGGTGGATTGAACCAAAACTGGACTAAAGCTGAGAAGGCTAAGTATTGTGGACAGATGAATGTTGGATTGTTTGGAATAACATGCCATCGTAGCCCTCATGAAGTTTCAAACCTTCATTAGGTATTGATTCCCATTGATTTGAATTGCGGGAGACGGTATACAGTAAGATCTGAAGGCCAAATAAACTTGAATTTGCCGTATATGTGGCCCCCAGGCCGCTCTTTGGTCAGGTCCTGTGTAGGTCTAATGTCACCAACAGGTGATGGATGAGGATCTGGTCAGTCTCTCGTCCTCTGTCCCCTCCTTTCCTCTTCATTCCTCTCATCTCACCCCTCCCTTTCGCTTTCCTGTAAAATTACCAGCTGCCCTTTGTTCTGCGCAGAAGGAACTCTGTAGACCTATGGGAACGGGTTTACGAAGCTTAAATTTGGATGTCTTGCATTACTTATAAATCACAGTTGACAATCAAGACAGTTGTTTGCCTCAAATCTTCATAAAAAATGCCACAACAGCTGTAAACATTTTTGTGTCCAGTGTATCCAGTGTATATTTTTTTTTTTCAAGCACATAGACATAGAACCTTATCCCACAGTTTCAGGAAGACTGTTCCTGTTTGAGCTGACATGTAAATATGAGAACTATAGTTTGATCTTTACCATGTGCTTTCCTCTTGTGCTGTCCTCTTGTTAAATCTTGTTCGTTTACGTCTAATCTAAACATCCAAACCGCACCATCTCAGACTCCACGCTCTGCCACAGATCAGGTTTGCTTCTGCTCAGTTCAAGGTCGCTCTCGGACTCACAGACCTGGAGCAGACTTGGAGCAGGTCCTGGTCTGGGATCAGGTTTTCACAGACCTTTTCTCAGACAGCTGCACTGAGGTAAGTGTGAAAACCACCAGACATTCAACACGAAACAATCTGGTCCCATTAAAGAGAGAAGACATGCACACTGCTCACCAGGAATCTATTCCACAACCTGAGGACTGAGCGGAGCAGAAGGGCTCACCACTCTGCCACGGTAACTGTAGTAAGATGTACTTCAGCTAGTATTTACAGAGTATCTGGTGTTTGTAATAAAAGCGTGTCTAATAATAATCCCATTCACACCTCACTGCGCTGTGTACAAGCACAACGAACAGTAAATAAACCACAGACCACAACTAGGCAAGGCAAGGCAAGTTTATTTGTATAGCACAATTCATACACAAGGCAACTCAAAGTGCTGAACAAGATAGCATTAAAATCATAAATAATTACAGAACATTAACGAAAGATAAAAATATAAAATCCCTCAGTTGTATGCACAGCTAAACAGCACCGTTTTTAACTTGGTTTTAAACATTGTCAGAGGAGGCCTGTCTCACATCTTCAGGAAGATTGTTCCAGATTTTAACAGCATTAATCTGAAAAGCAGCCTCCCCATGTTTAGTTCTGACTCTGGGCACTAACAGGAGTCCAGTCCCTGTGCTCCTCAGAGTCCGGGCTGGTTTATATGGGACTAACATGTCACTAATATATTTTGGTGCGAGGCTATGGAGAGACTTTTACACAAGCAGAGCTGTTTTAAAGTCTATTCTCTGAGCCACAGGAAGCCAGTGCAGGGACCTGAGGACTGGACTAATGTGGTCGTACTTCCTGGTTCTAGTCAAGACTCGAGCTGCTGCATTTTGAATGAACTACTACTATTACTGCTGCTTACGACTACTGCTTACAACTACTCCTGCTACCACTAGTAGTAGTAGTAGTAGTAGTAATCTTTATTTATATATACCGCTTTTTCACTGCAGATCAGAGTCTCAAAGCGGTTTACAATTGTTATTTTTAGGTATCTGGCCTCTCACTCCACACAGAGATGGGAGCACGGTCGCCAGTACAGGAGGCGCATGCCAGACCAATTGTACATGTTTTAAGTGATAGGGGAAACCGGAGTACCCGGAGGAAACCTACGCAGACATGGGGAGAACATGGAAACTCTACTCAGAAAGGCCCTGGTCCAACCGGGATTTGAACCCAGGACCTTCCTGCTGAGAGGCGAGAGTTCTATCCACTATGTTTCCATCTGAAGGTCCTGATGATGGAGCTGTGGCTGGACTCTCTGCTTCCCTCAGTGTGAGGTCATGGTTCATCACATGATACACCAAAGTTGCTCTAATGTCATCAGAAATATCTTCAACCACGTCCTCCTCCTCTCTCCTTGTCTTCCTCTACCATGTGGATCATGTGATCAATCATGGCCTCACAACGAGGGAACAGAGAGTCCAGCCACAGCTGCATCATCAGGACCTTCAGAAGGAAACATGTCTCCAACTCTCTACTGCAGACTGTATCTACAGTAGTTACAGTACTGTGCTGTATCACATGTAAAGTATTGCAAGTTGGCTAGTTCTCCTTTTGAAAAAAAAGTAGTTTTGTGAAACATACAATACAGTAAAGTACATAGTACTGTACTAATGACATGTCACAGTACTGTATACAGTACTTTAATATTGCATATTTCTACAGAATGACTCGAAGTCCTTCTGAATGTGGAGATGGTCGGCAACTGTTCACCAACAGCAGCAACTTACCTTTGTGGAAACAGTCATGATCTATAATCCACACTCGCACAATTGCCTAGTTTTACATTAAAGTTTTTTTTATGTTACTGCGTTGACACATATGCAGTAAAGTATACTGTAGTACTGTGATGTACGTACTGTATTGTGAGTTGGCTATTGCTCTTTTTGAGAAATGGTAGTTTTGTGAAACATACAATACAGTAAAGTACATACTGTGTACAGTATACAGTACTGTAAAAAAAAAAAGAAATAAAATAAACCGATAGTAACAATTTGTGGCTGCATATTTCTACAGAATGACTAGAAGAGCTTCTCAAGGTGGTCAACACCTGTTCACCAACAGCAGGAATATTGTGGAAATAGTCTGAGCAGGAACCATGATCTATAATCCACACACACACAATTGCCTAGTTTTACATAAGAGTTTACAGTTCTTTCTTGTTGCTTGAACACTACAGACACACGCTTAGACCAAAGTTACAGAACCTCAAGCTTTTGTTCTAAACTTAAAACACAGTCTAACCATTCCTTAAACAAAAGTACTGCTTTGCACTTTACTTTCATTTCCTTCTGAACACACTTTCTCTTTCTGCAACACACTTTCTCCTGCTCACTACACACTGTGTCAAGACACTTTGTTCATACTTGCAATCCTGACTCATCATTGGGAAAACACATCTATTCAAAATACCAAACACATATGTGTGTGATGAAAACACTGAGACACACACTTGAAAACACTGACTTACAAAACGTGACACACATCAGACAGACATAAACAGGCCTCAGTTTAGCCATTTTCAGAACTTTACAAGTATGAAGGCAGAAAGAGCAAGAGGTAGAGGAAGAGGAAGAAAAAGCGAGAAGAGACATTAGAGCAACTTTGGTGGATCATGTGATAAACCATGGCCTCACAACGAGGAACGAAGAGAGTCCAGACACAGCTCCATCAGCACTCTCTACTGCAGACTGTATCTACAGTATTTGCTGTACAGTACTGTATCACATGTACTGTTTTGCAAAATTGACTTATGCTCCTTTTGAAAAATTGTAGTTTTGTGAACCACACAATACAGTATTGTAAAAAACTAAACCTATAGTAACAATTTGTGGTAGCATTTTTCTACAGAATGACCAGAAGACTTTCTCAAAGTGGTCAACACCTGTTCACCAACAGCAGGAATATTGTGGCAGCTGGTTTTACATAGCACTTTTTTGGACACTCAAAGACACTTCACATGTCATTATTCTTTCACGCCATACACAATTGTGATAAACTGCTGATGTAGCCACGGATGACCTGGACTCACTGACGGAAGCAAGGCAACCAGTATGCGCCGTTGGCCCCTTCAACCACCACCACCAGCCATTCACACAAACACCAGACTCGCTCTGGGCAATGCTACTACCACTGCTGCTGCTACTATCATTATGACTACAGCTGCAGTGCATTGCTATACAGCCACTGTCCCATTACCTGTTTTGTGGTGTGATGATGAGACCTCTGAACTGGATCTACCGCCTCGATCCTGGATCTAGAGCCTCAGTCCTGGATTTAGAGCCTCAGTCCTGGCTCTAGAACCTCAGTCCTGGATTTAGAGCCTCAGTCCTGGATCTACAGCCTCAGTCCTGAATCAGTTTGTACTGTCTGTAGGAGAAGATCCCTCAATCAAAATGCTCCTCTGCAAGGTTTCCCCCTTTTTTTTCTTACCACAGGAGTTGTTCTTTGCCAATGCAGGAGAGTGTATGGACATCTAGGGAGATTTAGGGAAATGTTTTGTTGGAAGAGAGTAGTTAAACCGATGACAAGGGGTCTTGCAGATTTGGGCTGATAAATATACCATCAGTGTCATTGCTCTTTATTTATTTGTGTGTGTGTATATGTGCGTAAGTGTGTGTGATGAGCGGGTTTATGTGTTTGCGTGCGTTTGTGTTTGTATGTATGTGTGTGTGTATGTAAGTGTTCATGGGCGTGTTTTTGTGTATGATTGGTGGTAAATGTGTGTTTATGTACACATGTGTGGGTATGCAGGCGCATGTGTGTGAGCATATGAATTGGTGTGTGTGATGGGCGTGTGTTTGTGTGTGGGTCTTTATGTGTGATGGGTGGTGAATGTGTTTGTGTATGTATGCATGCACTGCAAAAACTGGCTCATTAATTTACTTGTTTCAAGAAAAAATATCTTCCAGTGGAAAAACATATTAATAACAAGCTATTAGATAAATACAATGAAATCAAATGAATTACACTAGTCTATATTTTCACTTTTTATAGTGTGGGTGTGTGTGTGTGTGTGTGTGTGTGTGTGTGTGCGTGTGTGATGGGAGGGTGTCTCTGTGAAACCCTTCTCTTCCACAGAGCAGCTCCACTCTGCAGCTGACTCCTCCACACACACAGAGGTAAGTCCTTGTGTCAATATCTCCAGCGCTGCATGTTGTCTTTACCTTTTCCAAGTTTTCAAGTCTAAATGTGTCATTTAAAGCTGGGGTGCCTAACTTTTGTCTTTCATAAAACATACAAGTTGTTTGACCCAACACATTCTTGTGAATTATGAAATAATAGTTGACTGATAGTTGATTGGCTGAGTGAGGGTGGTCCTCACTTTTCTGTCACTTTTCTGTATGAAAAAGCTGATCTATAGATGTGACAGAAGCCAAAACTACATTTGTGTGAATAAAATAGATAGTGATAGAATAAAAATGTTCTGCAAACAAGGAACTAGTTACATGGATTTTTAATACCTATCTTTTTCAATGAAAGTTACGTACCCCAGCTTTAAGTTATTTAACTCATGTATGTACGTGTGAGTGTCCTATAACGGCTCAAGTTCATTTGCAACGATAATAGATTATTGACAAACAACGCAGAAATTGTTACCTAGATAATCATTTCAACATTTTGACGACAGGGAAAAGGACTTGGATGCAGTTACTTGATTGATACAATATATATCAAAACTGGTTAAAAAGAATAGAAGAAGATAACATATTGTTTCTCTTGTCTTTGATTATGAAACAATGAATATAAAATAAACATTCAGATTTAGTATTTTGATGAGAAATATTTTGTTTTCAAATATGATCATAAGTTGCAGCCGTAGAGGATGTTGCCTTTGACTGAAATGTTGATCCAAAACTTTTATGGAAAGAAACAGACAACTTTTCAACTTTTCACAATTTTCAAATGTATTTATTTGTTTTTAAAGGGACAGAACATTCTAAATATGTAGATTAAAAAGTAGTGACACCCTACGTGAATGTGGGACATTTCCAGCTTCAATTTAATCAAATCTGAATGAATTTGTAGATTTTTTCAAGTTGAATGATTGCATGTGGTAAAATTAACTTTCACATTTATCTGACACTAGTTTCCTCTGCTAGTCCCTCCAGTTACTGCATCTTTACTTTCTGCTCAGCCGTTGCCTCACACCACTATAAATTAAAGTGTGACCGATGTGGCACTTCTCAGATCTCTTCAGACTATAAACGTCTTTTATCAGATGAACTTGGCTAAGGTCCACGACCGGCTGAACATCAAGTCGTTTTGGGAGAAGAGGATTGGCGGCGACACACAGCATGCCCAGAGCGAGGAGCAGAGGAGGAGCAGGAGCGCACTCTGCAAGTAGGAACCAAACACACAAGAGAAAACGGCCCCTCACACAGAGACATAGTTAAAGAGATACATGCAGCAGGAGTAAAGATTATTTGACACAGACAAGACAAGTACAGTTAAAAGTACAGTTACAGTCATTGATACAACATGAGAGGACACACATACTGTACTCCTAACTCAAACATACTGTACAGGCAGGAAAAGTTCACTTATCTTCTTAAAGTAGCAATATGTAAGATTTTCTTAGTCAGGTCATCAATACATGGCCCTAATCTGTCAAAAGGCAATAAGAAAACATTCTCTTTTCAAATACTTCTTTAACTGATGACAGTAGTTCAGAGATATTTGAATTTCAAAATTCGTTTTACAGCCCGTAAATCCTGTTATTGTTTTCATTTCGTTGTCCCGCCCTCCACTGTTTTACCAATCAGAAAGTCTGTGATCCGGGTTGCCAGAACTCACTGCGTCGAGCTAATCTCACTGGTAAAGTAACATGTGGCCACAGTACAATAGAAGGTCTCGTTATGATTCTCAAAACATTAATTATAAAACAAGGAATAAAACATGGATTTCTATTGGGGCCTTTGTGAAAAAGGTGTTGGTTTTAAATTCGCTGTTGACAAAACTCTTGTCTATTCAGATATTTTGTTCCCAGATCGATTCGTCTGAATATCTGGCAACCTGAGTCAGGGAAGAGGTTGCAGTACCACTTATGGCCAGATTTTTTACATACTGCTGCTTTAAGTCCTCTGAGATAACTACTGTTGTGACTTAGGGAATACAAACATTGAATTAAACGGAAATTAATGATTACCTTGTTTTGATACAGACAGATATCAAAACTGGGGGAAAATAGGAACCTGATACATGTGTGATACACACATGTATGTAAAAAAAGATGATTACTTAACAGGTGTTTTATTGTTGTAAAACTCACAGAAACACCTACACTCTTCTTGTGATCAAGCTCGTCTCAAAAGTAACAAAAACTATCTATTTTTTGGCTGGAATGTTAAAAAGGTGTTTTTAAGGATGTCATGTGTGGTATCTCTCATTAGGCTGATTTATGTAATGATTAAATCTCTAGGGGAAATATCCCCTAATAGTTCATATTATCTGAGGTTTGCCATAAATTTGTCCAATATACAGTATTTTACATTTATAATCAGTTTGATTCTAATTCGATGATTTTCTAATCTGTTGGCAAATCAACAATTCTGTGACACTCTTTGAGAAGAGTGCTGATGTATTTTTGGGCATTACAAAAGTAAATGGATTTGACATAACTCTTTATCAGGTTCCTGTTAGTCAAAAGAACCACCCAGTTCCCTTTGGTTGCATGAAACTGGATTTAACATGAGCAGTGGAGAGTGTTGACCCAACCTCAAAAATAATAACATGAGAATTTGAAAAACATGTTTAGGCTCCGAGTCTTGTTGGATCCAGCATACAGTTATCATGTTTGATAAGAGGTAATTGGATTAAAACAATGAGCGGCTGAGGTTATAAAGAGCTAAACGGTTGTTGTGTCCTTAGGCAAGACACTTCACCCATTGTCCAGTCTGAGTCTGATTGATGGGGATCAGAGGAGACAATGGCACAATCCTGTTGCATCAATTCTGTCAATTGGACCAATCAACTCAACATTTTCCAATAGCAGATTAGAAAATCAGACTATTAAACAGTTATTGGTCCATAGCGACAAACAAAATAACCAATATGAATGAAGTAAATGGATGAAAAGTGACTCACAGTATGCAAAGATAACATCTCAAATAAGACAGCGTGTTGTGGCCCAATTCTGTCACTCCTTCTGTTGAAACACACATTGTGTATTGTTAATGAAACAAAAAAGCTATGTACCCCAGCTTGAAGTAACTGCATGATACATGCTTGAAGTGGTTTATTAAGTAGCAACATGGTTAAGATTATGACCAGAGCAAGTCAGGAATAAATATAAGTAAATGTAATGCCCCCACAAAGCACGTGTCGCTCTGTCTCTGAGCCACTTCATTAGTCAGGGGTCGGATCATGTGGTGTCCTCTCATCGCTTTGTGTGCGTGTGTGTGTGTATGTGTACTTGTGTGTGTTTACATGTCCACTTGAGGTGAGGAGGTTTAGATTAGATCATGTTTTATTCCTGATCCCGTCTGTTGTCGTCTCTCCGTTGTTTCCACAGTTCACTGTGTCCTTGAGCCTCAAACAGATCCCTGTGATATTGAAATATGTCAGAAAGATCCTTGAGGAAAAGCGTGTTCAGAAATAACCAAGTTTCCGTAGTGAGCGTGATACCTATTGCGCTATATGATTGGCCGGTTGTGGTATGTTATTTTATAGACAATAAAGAAAATGAAAATTTAGAATTATTTGTTTAAAGTCTGGAAGTAGCAGGTGTATAGTACTCTGTCGTGTTCTATAGTGTTCCATGATGTTCTACAAAGCCCCTAAGCTGAAAATGAGAAAAATGACAAATGTCCTCTTAGGGGCTCAGGAGAGTAAATGCGAATCACCAGGGTTTGTTTATTTGTCTGTTTTACTGTCTGTTATTCAGATTCAGATTCAGAAACTTTATTAATCCTAAAGTGCAATTCATTTGCAGCAGAGATTCAAAGCAAAACACACAGACTCTACACAAACACACACAGACTCTACACAAACACACACAGACTCTACACAAACACACAGAGACTCTACACAAACACACACAGACGCTACACAAACACACACAGACTCTACACAAACACACACAGACTCTACACAAAAACACAGGCCTCACAGTTAAGGCAGCCGGAGGTTACAATATAAGCAAATAACACAATAGAATAAAATACACAACAATTCACACCTGCAGCAGAGTTCAACAGTTTTATAGCAGAAGACACAAAAGATTTGGAAAACCATTTGTTTTTCTGAGCATCAAACAGACGCCCAAAGGCGTCATGACAAAGTTAGCGATCAGAGGATGTTTGGGCTGAGGCGAGGCAAGGCAACTTTATTTGTATTGCACAATTCATACACAAGGCACCTCAAAGTGCTGAACAAAACAAGATAGAAAGAATCACACAAGGAATTAAAATCTGTTTTTAAACTGGTTTTAAACATTGTCTAATGTTCTTCTACCTCTACTTTACCAAGATAATGCTCCCAGGATCACTAGGTTGTAGGAGACAGAATTCCACTCCCATAATACGGTGTGTTGTCATTGACTGTATGATGACTGAACAAACCCCATCTCTCTCTATCAAAGTGAATAATGGTAAATGGGAGTATTGGCCTATAACTCTATAGCAGACAAAAGTTAAAAGCTTTTATGAGACTTTTTACAGAGACTAGAGGACTGGGTTGGCGTCGCTGGCACCGCCCTAAGTTGGTTTAGGTCTTACCTTGACGACAGGAAGTACTTTGTGGAGATTGGAAACTGTGTCTCAGATCATATGGCCCTGACCTGTGGAGTCCCACAGGGGTCGATCCTGGGACCTCTTCTGTTCAATCTCTACATGCTGCCGTTAGGTCAGTTAATACGCAGAAACGAAGTGTCCTATCACAACTATGCAGACGACACTCAGATCTATGTCTCACTGACTGCAGGAGAACATGGACCAGTGGACTCACTCCTTCACTGTATCCAACAGATCAGTGAGTGGATGCAAAACAACTTCCTTCAGCTAAACACAAACAAAACTGAAATGATTGTCTTTGGTCCCCAGAAACAAAGAGAGAGTGTCATCTGTCACCTCCAGTCTCTCTCCCTAAAACCTTCAAACAAGGTCAGAAATCTAGGGGTAATACTGGACTCAGACTTAAATTTTAATAGCCACATCAAATCAGTAACATCAGCAGCTTTTTACCATCTAAAAAACATTGCCAGGATCAAAAACATAGTGTCTAAAGCAGACTTGGAGATTCTTATCCATGCATTTGTCTCCAGTAGGTTAGACTACTGCAATGGCCTGCTCACAGGTCTGTCCAAACAGGCTGTAAAACAGCTGCAGTACATTCAAAATGCAGCAGCTCGAGTCCTGACTAGAACCAGGAAGTACGACCACATTAGTCCAGTTCTCAGGTCTCTGCACTGGCTTCCTGTGGCTCAGAGAATAGACTTTAAAACAGCTCTGCTTGTGTACAAGTCTCTCCATGGCCTCGCACCAAAATATATTAGTGACATGTTAGTCGGTGGCACGGTGGCTGAGTGGATAGCACTCTCGCCTCTCAGCAAGAAGGTCCTGGGTTCAAATCCCGGTCGGACCAGGGCCTTTCTGAGTGGAGTTTGCATGTTCTCCCCGTGTCTGCGTAGGTTTCCTCCGGGTGCTCCGGTTTCCCCTACCACTAAAAATATGTACAATATATCTGGCATGCGCCTCCTGTTCGGCGACCCCGCTCCCATCTCTGTCTGGAGTGAGAGGACAAGTGCCCAAAAAAATAATAACAATTGTAAACCGCTTTGTGACCCTTGTCTGTGAAAGGCGGTATATAAATAAACATTACTTACTTACTACTTACTAGTCCCATATGAACCAGCCCGGACTCTGAGGAGCACAGGGACTGGACTCCTGTTAGTGTCCAGAGTCAGAACTAAACATGGGGAGGCTGCTTTTCAGATTCATGCTGCTAAAATCTGGAACAGTCTTCCTGAAGATGTGAGACAGGCCTCCTCTCTGACAATGTTTAAAACCAGGTTAAAGACAGTTCTGTTTAGCTGTGCATACAACTGAGGGATTTTATATTTTTATCTTCCTTTTTAATGTTCTGTGATTATTTATGATTTTAATGCTTTCTTGTTTTGTTCAGCACTTTGAGTTGCCTTGTGTATGAATTGTGCTATACAAATAAACTTGTCTTGCCTTGCCTTGCCTATATACATTTGGGGTAAAACTTGGTGTACTTTTTCTTTAACTCAGTACTTTGAGCCTCTCTGGGAGAGAGGCAGATGACCCACACATGAGGATGCCATGTCATGCGAGACTCTGCAGTAATATGGAGAGTTAATCCGTGCTCTGATTGGAATGTGT